AGAATCAGTGCTATCTATAACTATGTAATAACGACGAACCACCTCCACTGCCACCGTTGAGCCATTCCTTCAAGAATTAAGAAGGCCGAGATCAGTCACCAGCCCATACTACAGAGTGTAATGCGACTCCAAATTTTGTCGGTCTCGTTGCTGCATCTGGCCAACGAAGTTGCTAAATTCAGGAATTATTTGTTTGTAGATATCGATGACCTGCAAAACGTTAGCTTGTGCAATAGAGAAACAACTGCAATAGGTACTGACCTTCTGGAAGACATCATGCAACTCCTGCCTGACCGGGCTCTTCAAATCAATATCACGATATCGGGCAATGGCCGTAAAGTAGTTGAGCAACTCCTTCTCCATGGCCTGAGGGTTTCGGCCTACGATCATAGAAAATCCCTTGAAAGCTGTCGCCTTCTCTTCAGTTGCATCGACCTCGTTCATGATGCTGATCCATTCCTCAGCAAAAGTTGAAAGATGAGGTCCAAGCTGTTCCGAGTTGTCGAGGCCAAGGCGGCCCAAAGCCATGGCAGCATTTTCGTTCAGCGCTTTGGGAACACGAGGGTTGGTCATGATCTCAACAAATCGTTGGAGAAGCTCTTGAACCCATGGGCCCATGTGCTCCTTGTGTTGCATTGAAATTTCACCAATTGACCAGCAGGCGTTGTTGACAACGCCAAACCCACTGTCCATATCCTCATCAAGGACGCTGTCCATATCAAGCTGCTTCAGCAGGATGGGGATAATTGTAGCAAGGTAAGGCTGTAGTAGAGGATAGACGTATCTAGCGCAATCTCCCAACAGCGCATAGGCAGATTGTCGAACTTCGTCACTAGGGTCCTCCATACAGAAGCTGAGAAGCTCAAAGAAGGACTGTTGTGAGCTCTTGACCAATGCAGCCGACTTGTCATCGTTGAGAGCTTGGACAATGGCACTAAGAAGATCCAGACTTGTCACCAGGAAATCCTTGTCAGGCTGGTCGATAATGGGGTTGCCAGCAGCGGCCAGGGTCTGCTCAAGATTGACGTGAATGATGTTGACGCATCGAAGGAAGATGGGCTCAGCATAGGGAGCGAACGCATCACCGAGTGCCATCGCCACATAAGAGAGGCACTCTAGCAGAGGGAACAGCTCCCGTGACTGATCCGATACACGGTTGTATCGGTCGATCAAGGCAGGCATCAGCTTGCCAGACAGCTCTGGTGCGGCCATGGTAGGTCCAATATGCTCCGCCAGTGTCTGTACACAGTCGTAGAGAATGTACATGTTGCGATCCTTGTACTTGGCAAAGCAATGGACGAATTGTTGAATAATGGGTCCACAGTAAGGTTCAAGGATCTTACCCGCCTTCTCCTCGAGGTTGGCGAACGCCGATGCAGCAGCTTCTTGTACCTTCTTGTTCTTATCCAACATGTGGCGGAGAATACCGTCCATCAAAGGGAGGAAGAACTGATCCTTGTCATTATCCTCCAAGTTGGCAGCCCATGACGAATATCGACCGAGGGTCCAGCAGGTGATCTGTCTCACAACAGGCTCCGAGTCCTCGAGAAGAGAGATGAGGTAAGGCACGAGCTCAGGCAGGTGAGGGACAACAACGTCCATGCATCCATCAGCAACGGCACCCAGGGCTAGAACAGCGGCTTCTCGCTGAGGCCACTCGTCGTGCTTCAGATGCTGTGACAGATAGGGGAAGATAGCCTCGAAGACAGGAGATTGGAAGTCGCGGGCGAAGACATCGAGAGCGGCGGCGGAGCACTTGCGGATGGTCCATCGCTCGTCAGGGTTGGCGTCGTCACCGTCATCGTAGTCATCAATTTCTCCCTCCTCGGTATCGTCGTCCATGCCACCGAGCTTCTCGAAGCCGTTTCCATTCTGGGCTTGATCTGCGGACTCGCTGACCCCGCCGTTGGCCTTTCGTGCAAGAGCCTTCTTGGCAAACGCAGGGCGGATATCCTCTTCACGGTCCTCCTCCTCCTCGTCATCTGAAGCACCTCCAAGGAGGGCAATGTCCTCTCCACTGTAAACCATGCATTCGAGAAGGACCGGAATAATCTTGTTGATGTACGGTTCCAACGCCCTCCACAAATTATCATGTTCTCCCACGGCGAGCCAGAATTCGGCCGCTTCACAGGCCAAGTCCTCATCGTCACCTTTCTGCTGAGATATTATATAGTCGACGAGGCCACTAATGTGCGGCTGGAGCTTGTCGGGTCGCGTCTCAACTAGATGAACAAAGGCACGACACACTTGTCGTCGAACATCGACATTGTCATCGCTGGCCAGAACAAACAGATGCTGGAGGAGGTCATCGATGGAGTTGAGCATGGCCTGTGATTCTCGAGGTGTGAAGACATTGATGGCAGTCAGAGCACCAGCCCTGACCTTGGGCAGAGGGCTCTTGGTGGCCGCGATGAAATGGGGGAGAACATAGTTGAGGGGTCGCTGGCCATTGACTTCCTTGGTCAGCTGGCGAAAGTTGTCCTCGCAGATCTTGGCCAGAGCAGACATAGCACCCTCTTGCGCCTCATTCGAAGTTTGACCGGATGTGTTACCGACCAAGTCGAGGAGCTGAGGAAGTAGCTCCGGCCAGCTGAGCAAACCTCCACGACGGACAATTTCGGTAGCAATATTTCCAGCAAAGTTGCGAATCTGGGAGTTCTTGTCTTGCAGGCACATGGGGACCGCGAGCTTAATGAGCTGGAGGTTGGATTCGGGGATGTTCTTCCATTCGCTTCGAACATTATTCTTGAGCATGATGCCAGCGGCGGAGCGCACGAGGTGGAAATCTTGCTCCGAAAATTGAAGACCATTGGGAGGTGAGGAACTCGAGAAGAGATATGCGAGATAGTTGTTGACGTCGGGGGAGTTCTTGGCTTGTTGAAGCATCTGCAAGAGATGGTTAGCTGAGGGGCGGCGCATGCGTTGCGATGGGCAAGCAAAGTCTTACCAAATCAGCCTGCTTCTGAGCACTCTTGTCGAAACCACTGAGGGAGTCTTTGAGGCAAGTAGCAAGCTGCTGCAGCGAGTCGGGGGTAGGTTCCCAGGAGGACATGGCTGCGGTGGTGTTGACAACGTCTCTGAACGTCGCAGAAGGCGGGTGTAGAGAAGAGGGGCGCAGAAGCGAGAAGGAAACTTTGTGAACGACTTTCACATGAGCTAAGCTCCACAGCTCCTACTCGTCAACGGTTAGTGATGCGCAAACCTTGAGCCAGGACAAGATAAGATGACAATGGCGAAGGAGTCTGGAAGAGGGGAGAGACAAGAGACGAGAGAAGCGAGACCAGCGGTGGACTCTTGTATAGTGGGATAGAGTATCCGTCCGTAGTCGTATGGGATGGCAGTGGGTGAGAAGCGAATGTGCCCCTCCGATACAGGGATGTGCAACACCGTGGGGCCACACTGCAAAGCTCAAGTCAACTCTAGTCTACTCACCTGGTTTCTTACAGAGACGCCTAGCAGCTTCGCCTTTGTTTCTAGGGATTGCTTGTAGCGATCCTGATGGTAATATCAAGAAAAAGTGTGACAGGGTGCTGTGCGTCTTGAGACGCAGCTGCAAAGAAAAGAACAATCGAGGGGAAGAGGTTGATGCAGATCTCTCGAGTTAGAGTTGAAGAAGCTCAGCTGCCCACCAAGAGTAGGGGACGAAGATTTTGGTGTAGTTTCGAGGAGAGAGCGGAGGCTCAAGGTCAAGGGCACTCAACCAAGAAATTGCCCCTTTGAGACTAGCAATGGCGAGATGAGAGACACAATGGGGGCATGTCACGTATCAGACACACTGTAAAGTAGCCTGAAACACCCAATAAGACCGTGCCAATCGAGGTTTCTAGTGGCGCGGGGTGCGATAACGATAACCCGCCCGCAGAAACCGAGAAAATTTGTCACTGAAGAAATGCAAGGCAGGCTCTTTTTCTTTGCTGCGGGGATCGCCGGAGCTAGAATACTGTTGGGTTCCATTTTAAGCAATGGATGTTGCCATCTCATATACTGGTCGTCTTGTCTCGTGGCTGGTTAGAAGAGTCGACGAGACCAAATAGCCGCTTGTTTGGATTTGCTATCCAACCATTTCAACAAAATTGATATGGCACTGAATCATCCATTCATATTAACGCCTGCAACGGGCCGCGGCCCTGCCTGAGACAGCATCTAACGGCCTTGAGCTACCCGTGATACTGTGTTCAATCTCAGGTCATATTGCAACTCAAGAAACTCAAAGATCCAGACCAACATCCCTATTTAGCTGGGTTTCTTGCTTAGCATCCCGTATGGACCGATAAACTATCAAGAGTATCACCCTTCATCTGATAATCCAGTTTCACCAAGGCGTCACTGCGGGATTAGTCTCGTCGTAAGTGCCGCGCAGCTTGGTGTTGCACCAGCCTGAACATCGTGTATTACGTGTGCGACACTATTTCTTGGCCAGTCGCTATCGCAATGGAGCGGTCTGCAGTCATTTGCTCAAGATACATAGCGAAGTCTAGTCGCTCTATCCAAGCATTTGGGGATACAAAGGCCTGTAGAAACGGAAGCCGTGGCCATGGAGGCGAGACAGATAACCGGTGTACTCATAGACTCCTTGTTGTTTCTCTTTGGTGTAATATCTATTGAGAAAGGGGCAACCACAACAAGCCTCTTCAGCATAAGAACAGAAGGATTGAGTCCTATGGTGTCACACGCGCAATCCCGCCAGGTGACAAACATTTGTCTCAAGCCGTCTGCCTCAGTGTACCACTGCGGACTCATCCGGGATTGCTTGTGGTCCATATCGTAATTCTCCCAGGACTCCCTTGACAGCTATGTTACTCGGTGAAATGAATGAAGCTGTGCGCCATAATTCTGAGTGGTCATGATTCTGTCGGTGAGAGTTCCTTGGATAGACATCAGGTATTGATGAAGGCCAAGGTGGTGGGTGGTGCAAGTCCGCGGCTCTCCTTCCAACATTGTCATTTGTTAAGTGTTAAAACTTCGTATTCCTCAAATTGGTTGCAGGTATCCTTATCCTATCAGGCCGCAGTTGGCTTGGGGCCCGACAGCTGTAGCCTCTCTGACACAACCTGAACAATTGTCTTGAAGGCCTCCATCTCCTCTTCCACCGTGCCTCCCATACCCGCATTAGCAAAACTTATCGAGTTAGTAACGTACACCGGGAGTTGTGATTTTCGAGCCAAAAGCTTCGCCAAGCGTGTTGTAAACTCCACCGATGCCTCCGAAGAGTAGAGTGTCGTAGATAATGGCTGTGCCTGGTCAAGCCGCTATGAAAGTTAGCAAAGTATTACCGGAATAGGAACGGGCCGTACTCACGTTGGGCAAGGCATAGACAAAAGAGCCCATAGAGACAGGAGTGGCGAGCTCGTCTTGTGTCGCTGTTGTGAGCAATAGCACAATGGACTTTGCTTTAGTGGAAAGGCGGAGGTAGATGCGGGTGTCTAAAGAGCGGGGGAGGGGTACAGAGAGCTCGATTACGTCTGTAGCCATGATGCGTACTGTGAGGAGGTTTAGGATGTATTCTTGATGTAGTAAAGTTCCCTTGATCTCGAGATGGTGAGTGAGAGTCTCAGTCAGTTCTTAGAGCTGGATGGTGTGTGTTGTGTTGTGAGGTGAAGTGGAAATCGATATTTTGTCTGAGCGTCTGACGTAACTGAAGAGGTTATTAAATATGCACTCAAAACAACAATATCATGTACTTACTGACAACAAAACGAAAACAACACGCCAAATATCAAGCTGAGATGCTACTTCCCTTGGATGTTGTTTTATTCAAGTCGTCGATTTGCACTCAAATCCGCAATCACATGATCTCCTCAACCCCACGCAAACTCATTCGGAGGCCCGCATAAATCATTATCAACTTGTAGGAAGTGAGCAGCATGAGTCCATTCTAATCTTTACATCAATTTTCACTTTCACTCTTCCATCAGTTCACTAAGTCACTTATAAGATCAGAGTTCATGAGATAAGGAAAAAATTGGCCCTTGTGCAATATCCCGACATTCCTCTGTACCCCTCCATGACCCTTACTTTAACGCAGCATATCAACATCTATTTCTAAGCCCTAGTTGCAGTATGGCTGGATCCGAAGATGGCCACCACATCGAGATTGTTCCAGATGACAGTGCCTGGGCTGGAGTAGAGGATAATGCTGAAGACCCTGAAGAGGTTCGAGTTATTTTCAGCGCATTGGATTCATTCTTGTGAGTTATCCCGTGAAAACTCACTTGAGTCAGATCATTTCTACGCTCGGCCTGTTGGTAAACCATATGAGACCTCCAACATCTGCTCAGCGTTATGTGTAATCTAAATGAAATGTACGGTTCCTCATACTAAACTTTTAATAGCCAATACGCCAAAGTATCCCACTTCAACGTCACTCACCTTCGTCGTCAAGCCTTCTATGCGCTTCCTCAAGAGCAATGGAAACTCTTAGCGGCACCTCCCTTTAACTTCCTTGATACTCTTGAGAAGACTGACGATGCAATTGATGAGAACGCCGAGCTGGCTCGTACCATTGCCCGTGTCGGCCTGCAGTCATTTCGAATGATGACGACAGATCCAGAAGACCCTGAACCTAAGATGCCTCAAGAATGGGCCGGAGTCGCCAAGCACTCTGATGTTGATAAGGCGAGGAGTACTATTCGTCAGTTCTACAGAGATTGGACCGAGGCGGGAGCTGCGGAGAGAGAGGCAAGCTACAGTCCCATCATGAAAGCTCTTGCGGCAGAAAAGGAGAGATATCCCGATAGATCTCCTTTAAAGGTTTTGGTACCGGGTGCAGGCCTAGGAAGATTGGTTTTTGACCTCGTTGCGAATGGATATACCGCTGAAGGCAACGAGATTTCCTATCACCAGCTCCTCGCCTCATCCTACATTCTAAACTATTGTCCTGCGGCTGAACAGCATACTATTTACCCCTGGATCCATAGCTTCTCCAACCACCTCACCCGAGCGAACCACCTCAGAAGCTATCGCGTTCCGGACATCCATCCAGCCTCCGTCCTAGCTGCCTCGCCTAACATTGGAGAAATGTCCATGTGTGCCGCAGACTTCCTCTGCCTCTATTCCAATGAAGACCACGAAGCACAATACGATGCTGTGGCAAGTGTCTTCTTCCTCGACACAGCACCCAATCTGATTCGGTACCTAGAGGTCATCCGACACTGTCTTCGACCTGGAGGTGTTCTCATTAACGTGGGCCCGTTATTGTGGCATTTTGAGAACAACGCGCCGGGTACTCATGGACAGGATGGTGAAGCAGAGCATGACCCAAAGAGTTCATCGGGAATTGCTGATCCAGGAAGTTTTGAGCTGGCCGACGATGAGGTCATTGCACTCTTGGAGAAGATGGGATTTGTTGTTGAGTGGCACAAGACTGGCGTTCATGCACCGTATATTCATGATCCTGATAGTCTTTTGCAGTCAACGTATAGAGCAAGTACTTGGATGGCTCGAAAGCGATTGGAGCAGGGGAGTTCATTATGTTAGCCAATAACAGCAAAGCCGGCACAAATAAAATAAGCAAATAAACCATCTAAGAGGTATTTGGCTTCAACATATATCCTCGTGAATGAAGGGTTGTTCTTTATCATACATTTCGCATCCATCGCCCCTACAGCTTTGACTTGGAGTCGACCATAAGCTCGCCTCGCTGCCACAGGGCACCACCATCAATAGCAATCGTCTCACCATTAACATGAGATCCGGCCCGACTGGCTAGGTAAACAACCACACCAGCAATATCCTCAGGCTTGCCCAGTCGACGCATGGGGTTGCTGTTTGCGATCTCCTCAGCACCACCAGACATTTCCAACAGGCCATTGGACATCTTGCTAGGGAAGAAGCCGGGGCAGATGGAGTTGACGGTGATGTGCCTAGGTCCCAGCTCCATGGCGATGTTGCGTCCCAGATGCAACACTGCAGCCTTGCTGGCCGAGTAACCATATGTGCCCTGCTTTCCAATCGTGCCGACACCAAGTCCTGCAACACTGGCGGTGATAATCACACGGCTAGGATCCTGAAGAGAAGCGCTCTTCTCGAGGAGTGGTGTGAAAAGACGGATCGTGTTGAAAACAGCCTTGACATTGAGATCCATGACCTTGGCGAAAGCAGAATCAGGATGCGTGTCAAACTGCTCGCCCCATGTAGCTCCAGCATTAGCGAGGAGAATATCAACGCGGTCAGTGTGCTTCTTGACCTGCGCGAGAAGACTCTCCACACCCTCGAACTTGGATGAGTCCGCGGGAACTGAGATGGCTACAGCACCGGGAGAAAGGTTTGGGAGAGCATTGAGAGCCTTGCATGCCTCTTCACAGGCAGCGGCCTTACGGGATGAGATGAAGACCTTTGATGCGCCTGCTTGGAGGAATCTGAGGCAATGTTAGTCGCGTTTGCAGATGCATAGGAATAAGTGACTTACGCTGACGCTGCGTGCAGACCAAGACCGCGAGAGCCACCGGTGATAACGGCGACCTTGCCCTTCAGGGAGAAAAGCGAAGGGAAATCTTCCAACTGAGCTTCAGCCATTGTGTTTGTATCTGTGGTTGTTCTGAAAAGAGAAGTGGACAGTACAAGGGTAGAAGGGATGACGTATAAGGGGTCGTGTGGTGTGATGGTATGATGTTGTAACTTTTACAATTAGATTAGAGCAGAAATATTTTCCTCAGATATCGAAGGATGAAGAGATCTTTTATAGGAAAGAGAATTGATAAGCAGCGTCTCCCCTTGATCTTCGTGGCGAGCGTCGAGCCTCGGAGTTTTGTCTGCCCTGGGGTACGTCCGGGGTTCATTAATTAAGCCTCCGGTTGCGGGGAAAAAGATGCCGAGGCACGACGTCCGGTGGGTGGGGTCTATCTCGGTAACCTCAACATCAAGGCTAAAGTATTCATTCATATATAATAAGGAAATCATTCTTGGAGGCATAAATTCGTGTATTCATTCTGATATTTGCACTGGACTCGTACCAAAGAAACATCCCTTAGCATTCCCCTAAAACGGAACACTGCCTCGTAAATGATTGTAATGCTAACTAGGCATTTGCAGCTCATCATAAAACCCAGTGAAGTCCTTATGAATCATATCTTTCATTAAACCCATTGGAGAGCCTCTGTAAGACCATCTCAAGACTGAAGAAGAGAAGGAGTGAAGACAAGACAAAACAAAAAATAAAATCCCAAACTCATCATACTTCAAGAATATCTTTGTCAACATGTCAGGAGTTATGTGCTGTTCCACCAAATCTTGCTGTCAAGTTGTATAAAAAGGATCTTGCCCAACACAACAGAGTACCTGGAAACAATTTCCGAATTGTTGAGGACGTCGAGAAAAAATAATGCAAAAGTCCGAACCAAGAACATGAAGAAAACGGCTACCTTATGTAAACGCACATCAGTGTATTGCGCGCCACTTGCGAGGGTATTCGGTTTCCAACCAGAAGGCTGCCACGACGATTCAGGCAGCATGTTTGGAAGATCGAGCTAGCCCATGCCGTAGCTGTCTCGAGATTGCGAAGCTGCCGAGACAAGTTTCGCAGGTGCATGCCAGAGAAGCTGGCAGCTCCTGAGGAACGTATATATGCAGGTGTCATTGATGACACCCGATGTAGGGACCTGCTTACACAGGCACCATAAAACGTGAATGTTAGAGCTGTTCGCAGGATCATGATCTGCGATGCTTCTTTTTTAGATGTGTCTTCTTTGCCCAGCTGGTGTTGACCGCTTCAGTGACAATATCCCAATCTGAGGTCACCACCCGACCGATGAAGAGCACTTTAACGTTGTGTTCCACCGTCGTGAGCTTTGAGTAATTAACTCGGGACTCTTTTGAGATTCGTTCGTTTGGCTCATGGATGTGCACACGAACAGGAGGATATCCAAGCTCGGGCTCGCCAGATAGGCCGGTAGGGTTTCGATTGCTGCTTTCAGCAACGATTCCGTGTTGTTCAGCCTTGACACCACTCTTTTTACAACCTTTCTTACCATAGGTAGAGATTGGTCTAGAATGTTAGCATAATTCTGGAGCTCAAGCGCTGGCAGGACATAACACTTACATGCAAGTGCAGTGGCCACGATCGTTTGCGACTACGATGAAACGACGAAAATGGACAAAGATCCGACCGCCGAACTGGTCGCGATACACTGTTTCTTCAACCACACTGCCTCCTCCTGCCGGCTCCGGCCAGAGGACTTTGAAGACCTGCCGAGCGGTTAGCATGATTTTGGAGTCTGCAGTGGGCCAGCTTACCTCGCCGGGTTGGAACATATGAGACTGTGCAACACGATAACCTAGAATCAAGTTAGTTTGCACTCTGCATCACAAAGCCTAGATAACCATACGTGGATCTAAAGTTTCTGTTTCACCACCGGTGCCTACAATGTGCTCTTGGTTGGTAGAGGCCACAGCTGGCCCTGGGTCCTCTTCCTCATCTTGAGCTGCTATGGGTGTTAGAAGCCTCAAATTAATTTACAGTTTAGCCTCGAAGTTACGTACCGTAGGGGGCATATGCAGCAGATGACGACTCACCACCTCGGTATTGATCTCGAGAATAGTGTCGACTTTGAGCAATGGCTGCCTGAAGTACTGGGTCTTCCTCCTCGGCTGAGCCACTTGGATAAGGTTGGTTGGATGCAGGATCTCCTGTGGTTGAGTGAGGTTTGTCAATGCTAATATTAAGATTGAGATAGAGCATCTCACGTACCTTGAGTAGCCTGTGGATATACGTAATACTGGCCAGTATTCTGGTCATAATCTGGTTAGTTTAGTAATCTGTCTCATCAGGATACTATGAATCCCTCGGTCACTTACAGGTTTGTTCAGTTTGCGGAGCGGCTGTAGATGCGGATGGTCTACGTTGACTATGACGGTTTTCATAGCCCTGTTCATCAACCTCATCAATGGCTTCCTGCGCGGTTGCCTTCCCTTTCCCACTAGAAGACTTGGACGGTTTCGATTTCGACTTTGATGAACTGCTATGCGACCTCGATGATTTGGATTTTACTCTCGACGATGAGCCGCCCGTGACATATTCATCATCTGGACCATCCAATATGTTAGTACATGTTACAGCCGACGATGTGGAAAGAAACCAAGGGGCTTGTGTTGGGAAAACAGGGGACCAACACAGGTCAAAACGTACTGTCGTGCTCGTCTGCAGCAGTTTGTTCAGGGCTCTGGATGTTGACAGATCCAAACTGCTGGGTCATCTGGTCCACCTCTTGAACTTGCACAGGGGTTCGGGGCACGTCTCTATTCTGAGCAGACTCATATTCGCTCTGCCACTGAATATCCGAGTTGCCTATGTAGCTTTGATTAGTAAGTTTGCAAGGGGAAATGGGACGCTGTGATAGAAATACACACCGGCAGCATCTACTCTTTGGCGATAATATTGTTGGTAGCTTTGATGCCAGGTCCACTGAGACCACTCGCTCCATCCTGATCTGCTTGTTTGATACATAGTAGCATTTTGCGCATGCAAGCAATGCGTCTAAATACCACAACTCGATTGCAGATCTTGAAAGCAAGATGTTCAACAAGGAGCAGGTTAGGATAGGTATGTAGTTGATACACCCACCAAGTGCGAAACCTGATATGGATATACGATGCTGCAGCAACTAATATGCAAAACTTTCAAACGAGCAGAAAATGCCTAAATATTTTGCACCACTAGGAATGAGGAAGTGTTTGGTGTAAAGAATTTTGAGTCCTTTCGCCTCCAAAGTCTGAGGCCTTGTTCGTCGTTCAGAACGTAACAGACTTCAAGTAAAGTGATTCCGACAACGGGGGAGATGGTGGGCTGGGGGCTTTTGTAGAAATAAGCAAGAGCCAGAAGCAGCGCAGTACAGTGGAACCGTGAAATCGAGAAGTTAGCTAGCTAACCAACAGAGAAGAAAAAATTGCGGCTCAGCTCTTCATTCGGGATGGAGACTGGATAAGGGAGCTGCAGCTTGGTTGCACGAGGACGAAGATCCGGGCTCTCGTTGGGTTCCTTGGGGTGCGTTGGCGTAGATCGGGATAGAATTGGATTGATTGTTGTAGATGTAAGTACTCGAGAGATTCCGCTGAGACGACTGTCTCGTCCTTGCTTTAGTGCTATACCGGCTTCCTGTATCTGGATGAAGTTGGCCAGTGTCCTGTAAGGATTCGCTGCCTGTGGCGTATGTAGGTCGGGGTAGGCAGGTCAGATTCTGCCACCAAAACTAGGATTGTTGCTTCAGAGTTGCATAAAGTATGCTGAAGGGGTATCTCGTGCGCCTCTTGTGGTGGTGCTGCTTGTGAACTAGGAGTCAGAGCAGTTGTTGAAGGCCGGTTGGTCGAGGTGGAGGTACAGCAGGAAGACCAGTATCTGCCCGCAGGATACGCGATGATGACAATCAAATGCTAGCAATAAGAACGGCAGAAATACTGCTTGGCTGCAGGAGTTGCAGGACTGCCTGGAGGAATGGCGTGCAGCCTGATGTCAATAAGCTCGAGCTGGAGCTTTGAGTCACGACAAGTCTCCCAGTTCCGGTCGACCTTGAAGAATAGGTCGGTACAGGAAACAAGAGGTAGAAACCGGAGGGCTCAGAGAGTGGACAACTGAGCGGCAACCGCAGCTTATCAGTCGCTTCTGTCTATGCAGTCCAGCATCTCTTTAATGTCGCGCATCAGCCAGCGAGTAACAGAACGAGTCGAGTGGGGATGGATGCAACAAGTGGAGGAGGTGGACTCATGGAGGGGTTCTCGGAGGAGTCGAGCTGCAAACTCGCATGACGAGACCCTTAGCAAGCAACTGGCGAGGAAGTCAGGGAAAGACCTGAAGGAGATGCAGTTCCGTCTTAGATAACAACAGCTGAGACGCCGAGCTGTGGGCTCTCAAGAGCGCAGAGAGCAGTGAATGATATGGGCTTCTCATGTTGAATAGGCACTGAACATAGCCTGCAAGACACGCCCCTCTCCTTCGAATACACAGTCCAAGACGGAACGGACATGGGCAATATGCAAAGAGCCGAGAGCGTATTGGACCAAGTGGGTGAATTGGAGGGGAGTGAGCGATTTTGGAAGGCGTCCATCGGGAATGTCTGCAGGGTGTTGTTGTTGGTGTCGAGGTAGAGTTACAACGACGAGGCTCTAGTAGCATCTGCTAGCACGGGATAAGTGGATGAGAAGAGCACAGTGTGTGTTTGAGCATCCACCATTAGTGGAATTTGAGCTGGCCTCAAAAGTCTGGTGACCAAGCTCAGTCAAGCAAGCTCACGTTGAGGCGTAACTTAATTAACAAGTTCCCGTCCGTTGACCGTTTTATTATGATCCAATGACGCGGATATTTCTTTGTTCTCTCCACCGTTTGTTTATATGGGGGATCATAAGCGATATGGACAATTTTGGTAACCAGGCTGCATACCCGTTGCGTAGTGGACCTCCTTAACAGCCCCCAGTATTGTCTGACACGGACACTATCACTGGCCAGCATTTCTGCACAATCTGTGTAGACTCATAGCCCCCCCTCCCTCGCTCTGCTGTCACGTTCTTATTTGGTCAGTCCAGATCATGAGATAACAAGTGCTGGACTTGCTTTGTCGCGTAATCGCCAATGGATAAATCAGAAGCTCCCACATGCATTTCTTCAGATTTAGGCGCTAACTGTCGCTAGCCTTTAGTGGCCGCTGCCCCCGGACGCCGGGATGTTTCCCCTAGAAACTGAACCTTGTTGTGTCACAATCTCATTCCAACGTGCAATCAGCCGCCAGATAGCTCTGTCGTCCGCCCCAAGTTTCTGCTGTCTCGTCAAATGAAGAAGAAGCAAATCCCTGGCTGGCTGCTCTGACTGTTTTCATTTCCCTGTCATCTCCCTTTTATTCTCCCTTTCGTCGACAGTCATTGCAAAGAGCATCAACGATCGACTCAGCATTGATCGTCGCATCTGGTTATCTGAGAGAGAATGGACAGGCCGCCTCCAGTTCTAATGAGTTCGTCTCTTTATCTTAGCTTTGTTGATCTTGCGTACGTCGATGGAGGCCGTAGCGTACGACAACCACAACCACTCGAGCTTTGCCCGAATCCACCAAAATCCGCATCACCAATACCCTCATTCTTCGACCTCGCCCCTTCCTGTGCCTGGGACCCATGGCAATTCCCGTTGCCGGCACGAGTTTGAGGGCGAGGGTCACTATCCGACCCACGATGCTCTACCGCCATCAAACCCGATTCATGTCTCGACAAGCTTCCCTATGTCTGAAGTTGAGACGGTGTTTTCCAACAATCAAGCCCCGTCTACTCAGGCCAGCGTAATAGACATGTCGGGCCCCCCTCCGCCTTCTCATCCTCCTCCACCATGGAAACTTGGCCTTGATAATCCTCCGCCTCCGCCTCCACCACCACCATTTTATCTTCGGCCTCCAACTGTACCATCGCCATCATCCCCGCACGCGTCAAGTCGCCCCCCGTTCTATCTACCTCCGCCTCCACCTCCACCTCAACCACCACCTGGCAATGTTATCGCCAATACAAACTTACGTCCACCATTCACATATAACCTTGACACGGTTCCACCTCCACAACGGCTCTCTCAGCAGATATTGCCGGCGCCACCACCTCGGATGGCGCTCAGTTCTGCACCCAATTCTCCCACCAATGTACCGAACCAGCCTCAAACACCAAATTTGAGACCACCGAGAGGATTTGTTAGCTTCGGACCACCACACAGCGCCCATCAATCGGGAAATAAGAGTAATCTGGCAATCCGCCTTGCTCCAAAAGCATCAACTCAGCCCGAACTTCGGGATACCACTTCCACATCTCAATCTTCAAATCATACAATCCCGCGATTAATTGATGATGAGGTATCCTTCTCTGATTCTCTGTCCGACGAGGACTCTCTTGTCCTCCGAAACTCACGCCAGTTCCCTCCTCTATATCCTACAGCATCAAGCTTGAATCCACAAGGTGGAAATCGCAAGACTTCTATGACAACTCGTATAACCAATTGGATATCTGAATACGAGCGGGACCGCGCCCCAAAGGATCGTCTGGACCTGAGCACCAGCCTTGATCCTCTCTTGGAAACCACCAGAGGTAGCAGAAGTCATCGATCGAAAGAGTCTGCCCCTCCTGAGGATACTCTGGAGCTACTCTGGGTCAAACTCAAAGACCAGCGGGTCAAGCTCAACGACATCAAGAGTCAGATGGCCAAGAAGAGGAAAAGATTAAGAGATTTGCGGCGACAGAGGGACGATGCAGACAATACATTCATGGGCGTCGTTCGACCTATGCTGATTGCTCAACAAGGGCAGATAGTAACAGGACCTGCTACTTTGGAACGACGTCTGGCAGAGCTGCAGCGGCTGAGAACTGAATACCAAGCCTATGAAAACGATTACGAAGATCTTGAGATCACCTTGGATGAAGAAGAGGAAATCTTAAACAGGCTGGAGATTCGATTCTTCAGTTTGCTCGCGGTTGGTCAAGCCGTTCCTCTTGAACAGCTTCCTGAAGATGAACCAAAGCATGAGGAAGACAAGAACATGCCCAATGATCTAATGGGTATATCTCCTGATGGCCCACCCGAGGATCTCCATCCTAAATATCTTGATCTCATGGCTGCAGTTGGTGACCTCGAAAATGCTAAGGAGGAGCTTGACGAGCTACTATTTCTCAAGGAACAGCATGAGGGAGAATTAAAGATGAAGGCAGCCGCGGGTATGGAGCTGAACGAGGCTGAGATTGAGTTCTTCGATGAGTTCCCGCTGGAAGAGGAAGAAATGCGCAATAGCGTCACCAGCCTGCAACAACAAGTAGCAGATCTTCGGAGCCTGTGTGAGGAAAAGGGAGTAATGCAAAAGCATTTATCGTCACGCGTTGCTTATCTTCTCAATCCTGAAAATGGATATGAGGACATAGAACTCGATGACGTCTCTGTAATCCTGCGCAGCCGGTCAGATCTTGCACATCCCACATTCCCTGTTCTTCTAAGCCAGCCTGAACACGTTATGGCTGACGAATTCCCCCTCACACCGCGTGATGCACTCAAGGCAGCAGCAGCCCTACCGGTGACTGACCCGGTGAAGCCAAACCGCATGCAACTCGCGTCCAAGGAGTATTCCATCGATCGGCTCATGCTGGACCATGGTGAGGGTGGCAAGGGTGATTTTATCAACAGATGGCTTTTGCACCAGCTTAGGCTATCGTCAGTGAACGCGCTGCTTCTTCATACGACTTTCACCAAGAGTCGGGGACTCAAGATCCGTGATCTTGATCGCTGGCAGAGTGATGTACTGCACTATTGGTGGGACGACGAGGGTGCAGAGCTACCAGAAGACGTGATGCGGCTTGTAACAAGCGAACACTCCAATGACGGTTCAAGAATCGGAACGAACCAGCTCTCGAGGGCGGTGACCTATACTCCAGGCGTGTCGGGCGGCAGACAGAGTCTATTGACTGCGAGCAGTGTCGCACACTCTACTTGGTGACGAGACTGCTAATGCTTGGAGGCTACTGCCAGATCTCTTTCTTGTTTTGCCCATTCTTTTACTTACCTCCTCTCCCTTCTATTTCATTTGTGTCAAAATTTGTTTCGGCTACCCTTTGGTGGTCAAAGATGGTTATCTGCTTCATCTTCAGGCTAAGATCTGAGCAGACCAGTTCCAGTCTGGTGCAAAACAGGACTAGGCAGAAACCTAGGTCAGCACGGTATTCTTCAATCTGCTTTTTTTTTTTTTTTTTTTGTGTGTGTGTTCAAGCGTGTTGTCGTTAAAGTTTGCGGGGTTTGGTTTGTTTTTGGCGCAAGCGATGTCATATACCCCCCGTTCTTGTTGTTTTTGGACTTTGAGAAAGGAGGTAATGTATGAGGATGTATATACCCTTGGGCAGGTATTATGGAAAGAGCATGTAGATTGGTTAAAGTTTTTGTTAAAAGGTGAAGATAATAAGGGTTATTTGGCTGTTGGCATATGGTGTTTTGAGTACTTAGTGGAGGCGAGTATTATTATGCGTGATGTTTGATGGTTCGGGGTGTTGATCTTTATAGAGAGAAACTACCACGTAGTATAAATGACCTCTGAGTTGTCGATTCGTTCACGTCACGAGAATGGTTCCAACCATTCGTTTGTAATTCTCTTTCTTTTTCATACTGTAGTTTCCCCACCACGAATAAATAGTTCCCGCAAACAAGCGGGACCTGAAGCTCTAACGGTGGGCCGAGGCCACGAGACGAGAGGGTTCGGGACGAGCCTCGCGGGGGCAGATCCAAATTTCTCCACTTTCACCGTCTAGCAACGGAAGAAAAAGAACTGCCCTCCACTGCGTGTTTGTACTGGTACTTTTACACCATCCAAGCCCCTCTCGGTTCGCCCAAAAGGAGGTGGGGGGAGTGTGCATCAAACGGCCGAGATGAGGAGGCATGTAACTAGGAACTACCTCCTCGTTTGTGATTTTGATTTTGATTTTAATTTTCTGGTTTCATCGTTTGGAAAATAGGCGGCGTCATTTTCTCACTGTCTCATTTGCGATGTGGTGCCACTGAGGCAAGTCTCATTTGTTTTTCTGGCTCATGAGTTTATATGAGACTTTGGTTTGGTAAATTACAAAAATGTGCTGGACGCCCAAGATTGATTGGTGGACTCTATGTACTGCTGGGGTGCTGAGACAAAGCGCCCGTGCAGTAGTTGCAAAACACGATTGATCTCCTCAAGGTGCACTGTACTGTATGTAGGTGTGCTAGAGAATTAATGGATGACCAAGTGTTTTGACTAACAATGATTCCCCCATTTTTGCATTTTACCCCGTAAGGCTGGGGGACGGGACGGGATGATGTGAGTATGCTTGTAAATGTGCACATCTTGTTTATGAGAGTGAACGATCACGACATTTACAATGCAGGTCATCGCCTCAAGCAGAGTCTACATATTCTATTGATAGCTTATCAAAATGAAACAGAAATCGAACCATATAATTCACTCTCAAATAACAGCAGATAGACCCATATCAGTAGAACCCAGACTCCATAGCTACCCCATATCAGCACAGTACAATCACCAGACTAACCATCAAACCACATGCAAAACATACTTCCCCACGTTTTCTAAGCCAGACCCTTCGAAAGCCGCTCCATACCGGTCTTCCACCAAGCCATTCTCGTGGGGGATCATCCCCCTGAGCCGTCCCCGACGTCATACAGCAGTTGGAAAGGGTGCAGTGTGATAATGCTCGGATTTCAAAGGTCAGAGGAGAACAGATCGCGATATTTGTGCGGCTCTGCTATACAGCTGAATGGGGGTGATTTGCACCAGTTTGGGGATGACGTGCATGCTGGCTTTTTCACGAGGGAAAAGATCGGCTTGTTTAATTTGAGCTGAGAGTTTGAGGTCTAGAACATAGTGACCTCGACGCTGCTGGTTCTGTCCCTTATTGAACTTCACGTTGGTGTTGAAGTCTATATCGATCTTGGGCCGGCCTAAGCCTCACACTATTTAGCTTTAAATATAGTATGCCTTAACTTTCCGAGGCGTTTTGATGTTTCTGATAAGCCACGAGCTCCCGAGAGGAACAGGGAGTTGGTACCAAATTGTATCCTACGTTATGTTGTACGCATCCGCACTGGGGCACTCTTTCACGATGATAATCATAGAAACCTGGTATGTCATGTTAGGTAGCGATGATTCTACTGGAGAGAATGGGAGTTCCTGTCCGCTGACTATTTCCTCTGTATTCTTCGATTATCCAAACTGGTCCATTTCTGTTTCAACGACGATAACATGCCTTTGATCACTCCCCTTGGGATGCTCGCCTCATAACCGTATGCAGATGAATAGAGAGAGGCGCATCCTCACGCGATTCCAGCAAACTTGGCCTTGGGTCTGAGGTGACCGTAAACTTAGGTTCGTTTTTGGGATTTGATGTCTTAGGAGCATCACTAGCCTCAGCGTCATCGCCAGGTGCCTGCTTAGCCCAGAACTTCCACTTGCTCTTTCTTCTCGGTTCATCCTCAGCTTTAACAGGTGATTTTTCTTCTGGTTGTTCGTTCTTTTTGGATTTCCCAAGTCCTAAACCTTGACTGATACGTCGCCAAGTCGTGCCGTTGTTCTCATTTTTCTTGGTGGACTTGTCAACTACAACCTTGATTTTGTCTGGCTGGGCCTCGAGCACTATATCAGCTGGGGTCTCGGTATGCTTGACATGTCTCAGGCACCTTGTATTGGTGCTATTACGTCTTTCGTTGCGCTGGGGCTGACGTTGGCTAGAGTGAGCATGGCGACAGCGACGTCCACGATGAGAACGTCTGTAGCGATCGTTTGTGATGAATCGCTCTTCATAGATCTTTTTCTTTCTCTGTTTTCTTCGATGATAGCGCATGGCTTCCTCGTTGACTGACGGTGGTCTTGTCCCGTAGGAAGATTCCGGGGTGTGTACATGCGAGAATCGTGAATGATGGTCATCGGTCGAGTCTTTGTCTAGCCAATTCGTAGAATCAGAATAAGGAGTCAAAGGTAAAGAAGGACGGCTCGAGAGCGACGGCTCGCGAGATTGATTGGAAGAATAGGTGTTGTTCGGAAGGGTCGTGTGGTTATAGGTACTCAGAAAGAGTGTAGGATTTTTCTCTGCCGTGGCTGCTGCTACGACTGCACTCGATCCTACATCTCCCATGATTGGAAGATAGAATGACAAAAGGCGACGGCGAGACGTAGATATAAAGATTTGTCCATCTGAAGGGGGCGAGGGTGATATTGGAATGCAGGTGAACGGTTGGAGTTGTGAAATGACGGGGTTTCGGCTGTGATAAGATTGTTTGTATGAGAGAAAGAAGTCCCCTCACTTATCAGAGTAAGGGCATCTTTCGCCAAATTCGTTTATTGGATATCGTTTCGGCGAGTGTCACTGTAAGAAGGGAAAAGACTCATCAATGGAAAGAGAGGGTGACTAGTCGATATGTCTGTCTCCTCTCATCTTGAAGCAAATTGAGGCATGAGCAAAGCATAACCAGAGTTTCCTTTACTGATATCTATCCCAACGTGCTAATCTCGTCTCTGAAAAAGTCCCACGTTCAACATTCCTTAGTCAGGCAGTGAAGTGGCCCATGAACTCAGTATAGGGGATTCTGTACCCAGACTAATAATATCAATCGTGTTCAACTCGAACAGAAGTTCTTCCTGGAGGCATATATCAAATTAGATGCTCCCCAAGTATAATCTCCTTGAGTTTCAGCAATACTGAATAATGACAAGGTATCATCGTGACATTACGTCCCCTTAGGTATTTGTGAATTGCTCATATCTCAAGGCCTCACTACCGCTCCATCAGGATAACAAGATTCTTCATAGGTCATACGAAACAGGTGAACGGGGGTCGTTGGTTCCCATTGCCAATCCATGCATTCTCCATCTTGTTCGTTGATACTAGCCTTCAAGGCAAACTCAAGCACGTGAGTGTGCAGAATACCAACACGATAGCAGAACTCTTGCACTTCGGCGGGGATATCTTTACGTTTACTGAAGACGGTGTTATGCAGTGCTGTCAACGTGTTCCGAATAGAGTCACAACCTCGGCCCTTCTGAGGCTCATCGACGGTTTTTAGTCTACTGATCAGCATAAGGTCACCCTCTGGGTTGAATCAAGTACCTATGTAACTTTGACTTTGACTTTTTGTTCTTGGGTGTTTTGTCTTTGGCAGGAATCTTTGCTGGATGTTCCTTAGCCATAATGATCGCGGTGATATCAGATCGTCTTAGATGTTGGCGGTAGGAGTGACGAGAAAGTGGGAGGATATTGATATGTTCGGCAGCAAGTAATCGTCAGTTCTAGATCGTTTCCGTGAATCTTTATCGTGAAAGTGATTAGGATAGAGGCATTGGTTCTGAGTTGGACTCTGAAAGGTGGATGTGATTGAGATAGGCATCACAAGAGAGAGACAGGTCAGTCCACAACTGACTTCATTGACAGATATTCCCTACCAATTTGCCTCTGAGACTTCTTCTCATAGTGAAGCCTATCCTGGGCCGGGTTCTTCTTTGACGAATAAACTTATCGGGGCTGGATAACCTCTGTTTGCTGGGGGTTTCTTCACAGTGACTACAGCCAAATCCATCAACGACGAAATACACATCATAGGAAAGTATGAATCACAATCTTCAATTCCCTATAAACCGAAGAAAATACTTGTGGGATAGCGCACTTCACATCATTCCTAGATGACTGTGGGTGCATAGGGTAACTATTCATTGTGCTTTGTACCAAACAGCGATCCAGCACAAAGCCATTTCAAATTATAGTCTTACGTATCTATTGTTTCTGAATAGGCAAAAAATGGAGTGATTGTGTATGGCCATCGTCGCCATATCAAACCTGCATCGTGCTCGTTGTCTTAGAAACGCATTGAGTGCCTGCATATCCAAAATGGTTACAAGACAGCATCATTTTGCCTCGGAGTCTTATCTTCCCCCTGGTATAGGCTTGGAAGAATAGTCTGAGCTCATTAGCACCTTCTTGAGTTGACGGGTTTCTCTCGTAGTCGCTTTGGTACTTCTATCCTTGAGAACGAACTTACCATTTCACAGCGAAACTCATCGGGAATAAGCGAGAAAGTAGGGAAAAGTAACAGCCAAGGAAACTTTCTTCCCATTTGGGCTACCAAACCGCAGTGGTGACAACCCAGCCTCCTTTGATGCGAAAGAAATGCAGAAGGTCAAACGGTGAAGACCCCAGAGGTATCACGGGTGCGTAGAAGCCGGCGCAGACTTTGGGTTCCTATGACTAAAGAGAAAAATACAGGCTCGAGGGATTTTCTGGGCAAACATGGAAGTGACTGTTTATAGCAACATGCCTGTTTGTGCCCGGGGACTCTGGTAGGAGTTTCGGCGATGCCGTGATACTTGCGAAAGGAACTTGAAGTCTCTTGGAAGACCAGGGTGGGATCTGCTTTCTCGAAACTATGACCATATTCAGGAAGGTATTGATTACATATCAAGGTGATCCATGAGTCAGAGGCTCTCAAAGGGTACAATGATGATATAGTAACGTTATCAATATTTATCTCAATGAGACTTCGTCGCGAATCGATCTACCAGCATCACAAAGCAGGGCAAGGCGCCACTACGGACCCTGCCTAGGAAGGAAAGAGTTGGAGTCCGATGCAAGGAACATGATAAACAAATCGCGAGTATGACAAAGTCTGATGCATCTGGGACTTTATCCATTTGGCTTAGTTGTGTGATGCGAATCGTCCACCCCGACATCCATGTGGCAGTGTTACTTGCCCTTGATGCGTCAAGCCGTCCATTGTGCTTACGATGACTTCGCTTCGCTGACCAGGAAACTCCAGAGCATCGTGTTGTGAGGATTAGGGGGAGCGGGAGGCAACAGAAGGGATCCTAGTCAGGGAGAACATGGTATTACGTATCGATGGATTCGATGAGAGAGGATTTAGAGAAGAAACAGAGTTTGAAGCATAATCTCGACAACAAGGATATGTCCGGGGTCTCGATGCAACGTGGAGGCTAACTAAATCAGGTGCCTGGCTCTGAAGCTCCGGAACGTCTGGCTCGTGAGTCGAGTCTGCAACCTGTTCATCAGACAGCTTGGCAGTCTCTCCTTGTTCAGAGAGTGCGATAACGGACATGTTAATAGGGTGAGAGGAGGCAAAAAAGGGGTAAGCTGAATGACTCCAAATCATGGAACTGAGAAGGATTTAGAGGCCACCAGATACTGAATTGACCTGAGGCACAGGAACAGAAGGATACAAAAGAGCCTGTAAGTGTCTGCGCCTTACGAGGCGAGAAAGTCAATTGATGTTTACAGAAGAAGTTCCGACGCATGGCTCAGAAATGAGGCTATCGTTGCTGCATTTATTTAGCCGGACAGGCTAACTTGGACAAGAGGGAGGCTAGCTGGAATGCGCCTTATGGCATTAATTTGACCGGTGCTGGTGCGTCAATGTTTGGAGACTAATTGGATGCCTGACCACGAGGAGCTAACGTTTCAGGGCAAAGAATTCGGTGCTCAATTGCTAAAACGATGAATGAGCGGCAGTCAAAGAGGTCATAGCCAAGAAACCCCAGACGGTTCAAGCTACCCCAGGTTTCGCCACCCCAGATTCTGGGTTTGTTACGAGAAATTTGAGATTGTCGAACGAGTTTGAATTGCCATCGTAGTACCGTTACCCACCAGAGTGGACTGCGATGTGATGCGGGGACGGCAAAAAGCAAATGCAATGGGCCAGATTAAGATGCCAGCCCGGCGGGCGGGACAAAAGAAAGGGCAAAGAGAAGCGCAAAATCCGGGGTCTTAAGGTTGATGCGACAAGGATTTGAGACTGTGCCGTCAGCTTGCGTCTGTAATGGCACGATACCACACACTTGCTGTTTAAGAGGGTGCTATAGAAGGATCTAAACCCAAGTCTAGACCTCACGACACCATCTTGGCTGATATCAAAAACGTGGCATAATGATATAGCTCACGGGTAACTTGATCCTTCAGGACGAATGGATTTAATGTGGCTTGAGGACTAGAACTGCTACTGGAATAGCAGAAACAAGCAGACCGCTCTCATGCAAACGATGTGACACGATAGTCGACATGTTACTGCAGCAGGCCTTGTCTTGCCTTGTCTCGCCTTGTTGCTCGCGTGGCATCTCTCAGCGATCGTTTCCAAGCATGGAATTGATGCTCGCCCAACGCACGTGGTTAATCAACCGGAGCGAGTGAAAACTCTACCGGATAACGGCAGAGGCGTTCAAAGGGGGCAAACAGAAACATTTGGCTTGACTCGAGTAATTAACTAATTAGATTGTAAAACAAAGACAGAAAAGGATAAAAGTGAGGCGTGCGGAAATAACGATTTTCAATGCGTTCGGCTTCACGTGAAGGATGCAGCTGAGTTCAGTTCATATGACACAAGACAAAGACGATATCTGCCATTGGACTTGAGTGGCTTGGCAAGCGTAAGCCAAGCGGACTCGCTCATTGACAAGTTCCACCTGGCGGTCAAAGCGACAACGACGTTGGACGACACAGGACGCATTGAGAAAAGGTTCCTCGGCATATACGGCTCGTTAGTCATTGTGATGAGCGTGTTAGCGGACGGTGAGTTTTGATTCTGGAGACAGGACGGAAAAGAAGGCATCTCAATATCCACTCTCTTCAACTACTCGCGCTATTGATTTGATTTACAAGTCCTAAAAAAGATCGTCGGCTCTTGTTAATTCCGGACCCTCTATTCTCAGCATCTACCGTTCCCCATATCTCACTCTGTCTCTGTTGTCTCTTCTCCCCCAGATGCCAAGCGTCTACAGCAACCGAGTCCCCGTAAAGCCAAGCCAGTCGAGGCAGCAGAACCCCGCGTGCCAAGTGCAACATCGACGCTGAAAAGGAGCTCATACGAGGCATTGAGACAGAGAAGAATCTGGGGGAGGGTCTCTGTGATGGGGATATCAGGATATACAGCGCCAAGACAAAGACAGAAGGAGAGAAGCATCTTAGTACCGGCGAACAGACAGTGAATGAATAAGTCAATTGAAACAAAATCCACTGACAGCGATGATCTTTACTGTCAATTGTCTGGCGGCCATGTGCTCGGAGCATTTCATACATAGAGTTGACTCGATGTCAGCTGCAAATCCGTTGATAGGAGGCTTTGGTCCATGTCCTTCACGCATTAGCCCAGGGTTTTAGGGGATGTTCAGGGGGTCTGTCCCGTTTGTGGTGAGCGTTAGGTAAAGAAGGGCCGGCAAAGGCGGCGCCGTTCCTGAAACTATGACGGCAAATGTGTTGTCGCCTTCTTTTTTCGATATGGCTTTTATTAATTGATTCAGAAAAATTGTCAATGCTCATCTCATATCCACTGCTGACCAACACAAATGTTGTGTTTTGCACTTATTTAGATGAGATGAGTTGAATGATTTTCTTGACTTTGACCACTGTAGTTAGTGGGGTCTCTCCACAAACTGAACCTAACTCCACAGTACCTCTCCACTTCTGAAGATCTTGGGCTGGACGCCACCCTGTTGTCTCTCTCTCACTTCTGGTCCAACAGATGACGACCAACCAACTACCAATATCACTCACCACTCTCTAATCTTTGACGTGCGTGGTTTTAATTCCTCATGCCCGGGAGATGCAAGCATGGTTCCATTATCATTTCTGGGGGATCTTCAGCAGCTGCTGGGATATTCTCAGTCTAAGCCAATACAATATCATCACTTGATCAAAACAGAAGATCTCACCTCTTCTTCTTTCTGTGATACCCTCGCTGTGCAGACTTGACACAAGGTGCTGTGCTATCATACCTCTTTAGGCGAGAATGCCGTGGCTTGAAACTTTGATCCTTCTCCCATGCTGTTGGCTTCAGGAGGCGTTGGGTAATGTATCTTACGTCTCTTTATCGGTATCGGCAACATGTCCGTTCTTCAAGGGTCTCCATATCCTTTCTGGCTCTCTTTTTTAGGATCTACCACATCAGCAGCTGTGGAGCCCGACCGGCCGTCTTACAGATTTCCCATCCCCATGCATTCCCCGGGACATGGATATGACATCGACTTTTGACCTTGTCCTTCTTCAGCTCAAGGGTTACAGGGGATCCTCGTCGAGTTCATCACTTGTCTATTGTACCCTCCCACACCCCATGTCATAAGCATAAGCGCCAATATCACCACCGTTCATCTTGTTCTGTCCGTGTTCCTCTTTGGGCATGAGCATGCCATGCCATGCCCTCGCCTCTCAGTCTCCCCGCGAGCCATATTACATACAGATCTACTCCCCCCTCCTCTACATGCTGGTCTTCTTTTGTGCCGGGTTCTTGGTTAGACTAATTATTACTTACTTCTTACTTTTATCTTGCTTTCCCCCCTCGCCCCCGCCATCATCATCTGCTCGCCCTCTCTTTGTTACGATTGTGTATGCAATAGTGATCTGCAGCAGTCTTCTTTATAAACCCAATCATCCCCCTTGATCACTGCATAGTTTCCTCCTTGCTTGCCACGCTTTGATATTGCACCTTTGTCTTGAATGTGCAATCATTGGTAGTGTTGGTTGTTATTAGACACGAGCCTCGACGCTTTGGGACTTGACCGTTGGGCATTCCAACGCTCCTTCTATATCGAGGACCCAACAAACCAACCTCGTGCCGATACTAAATCATTGGACTTTACTCTACAGCCCCCTCTTCTCATTCAACAACACTTCATCATAGCTATTCAGTAGACGCTGGGAGAATGGTGGACTATCGATAAAACCGACTCCCCACCCTCACCACGGCTCGACGACGAGAACCACAAATTGCTTGGTGATCACTACCAAGACCCAAGTTAACTACCGTCCATTCTCTCGAGTCTCGATACTTTCATCATGTCTTCCGCCGAACATCTCTCAAACTCGCAGCTCCGCGCTCTGAGCATCATTGAGCGGACATGTTCTGTCTTCTCATTACTCGGCTCGCTCTTCATTATCGCCACATTCTTGTCATCAAAGGCCTTTCATAAACCTATCAACCGACTGGTCTTTTACGCTTCCTTCGGCAACATGATGACCAATGTCGGTACATTAATGTCAAGATCATATATAGGCTCGCCAGATTCTGTGGGCTGTCAATTCCAGGCCTTTCTAATCCAGATGTACGCTCACTTACACCACACCGAAGCTACTAGTCACTAACATAGCATTAGGTTCATGCCTGCTGATGCCTTCTGGACCCTTTCTATGGCCATCAATGTCTACCTGACATTTTATTTCAAGTTTGACGCCCGAAGGTTACGAAAGATGGAGATTCCTTATCTCATCGGATGTTACGGTATTCCTTTCGTCCCCGCCTTCGTCTACATCTTCATCAAGAACCAAGAGGGGCACCGAATGTATGGTAATGCCACACTCTGGTGCTGGGTGAGCATGGAATGGGATATCTGGCGTATCATCACTTTCTATGGACCTGTCTGGTAAGTAATTGTTTAAGTTTGGCTATGGAGTTGGCACTGACTATCACAGGGTTGTCATTGCTGTTACCTTTTTCATCTACATCCGTGCCGGTAGCACTATCTATCGCAAGCGACAGGAACTTGATGATTTTAGCTCCACCGATCGAGATCTGACTTATGGGGCTGGAGATCATATGGGAACGATTAAGACAACAGAAGTTTCAGTGACCACGGAGGTCGTTACTCCGAATGCGATTCATCTTCAGCCCATGGGAGGCCGCCGAGCAGCCGACCCTAGCGACCCTGGCTCTAATGCATACTCGGTTCATATCTCAGCGCAGCCTAGCTCTGGGGACGTCGCAGATGAAGTTCTCCCTATTGAACGACAGCAAACACGAGCGAGTATTCAAGTCCCTGCACAACAGCAGCAACGATCAGGAGGCAATCCCGCTCGAAGGAGGAACCGAGAGCTTAGCAATGCAGCATGGCAATACACAAAGTGTGCCCTGCTATTCTTCACAGCTATCTTAATCACATGGGTTCCATCCAGCGCCAACCGTGTGTACTCAGTATTCCACACCAAAAACTCATCTGTACCTCTCGAGTTCATGAGTGCTTTCGTGCTTCCTCTTCAGGGTTTTTGGAATGCCCTCATTTACATGGTTACATCTTGGAGTGCGTGCAAGAACTTGGCTACCGATCTACGTATGGGTCGAAGGCCAGATGTGACAGAACTCGTTGGCGGCATGGCACCAGAGGTCGGGGCCAATAATGCAAGGGCAATGACCAGCCACCATCGACACAACCTCGGTCAGTTCCGACGATCGAATAAGTTCGAAACGGAAAGCATGACTGAACTGGCCAACGAGAGCCGGCCGACTTCAGACGATGAGCGGAGAGACAACGTGCGTGTATAACAGTTCTAAGGGCCTGCTTGGAAACGATGCTGCAGATGCCCTGTTTCTTTTGTTCCTTTATAATGAAGACACGACTTTGATGGTCAAGGCGTGCTCCAGACAGCTAGGAGGAGTTTGTTGGGAGACATTTGTTAGTTTCACCAGCGTGGATGGGAAGGATGGAAGATAATGGATACCCCAGTACTGTTACAAATAGTATTTGAATGCTGATAAAAGTCTGAGAGCCATTTTACGTGTCTTTACTGCAGAGTGAATCTGTCTCTTGTTTCATCTTGCGATACAGCACTGTGTTTCAAAAACTAATATCTGCCACGCGAATATGAATCAACCTTATTTTAAGCTTGATAATCAGTTACTCAACACACGTGGCTGGAGTGTAACTCCCTCATGTCAAGAGCGGAACACGCGGTAAGATAGAACTAGTTTAGCACCTGCAAGGACATGATGGCTTGATATCCATGTCTCGACGATGCATTCCCGGTCGTCCGGAGGAAGCACTGACAGTTTTGACCCTGGAACATATTCACGCAATCAGATTGACAAATGATGCGGGATCTGGGGTTAAGAAGGACGATGGCGTCAAGGATGTGACATGGGGGCTTAAGGACCCTTTGATATCAACAGTGGCTTGCCAAGGGTGAGCTTGTCGTCTCGACTTACCCGTACTTTTGTTCTGTATTGTAGATTCTTGGTGGGGTTATCGTATGATTTTGAAGGGTCAAGGATTGTGGAAAATGCGGGGGAAAGAGAGATGGCTTTGTATTTTGCGTGTTGGTTGGATATGGGCTTTTATGGTTTGCGGGGAAGGTGAAGCCATCTACAGACTCGCCTGATGTGGCTTTTCGGGATCCAGGGATTATCAGCCGATAATATTGACCTTGATAGGCACTAAGTAGAAAGAGAAGGTCGGTACTTGTATTGTAAAGAGAGAGTTCGAAGGTCATGTGATTATTTGACCTTGATCATTTTGTTTCTCAGAATTCTTTATAAACACCAGTGATGTTTTGACATCAATTCTCAATTATTCTATCAAAGCCTAATATCACAATGACATCTTTACATGTGTTCATACTCAGTTATGGAAGAAACCAAAGTCCAGAAAAAATTGGAAGGAACAGATTCAAGTTTGTCTGTCGAGGAAGTACGAATTTTTCCAATTCAATAGTTTTTCAATGCTTCGGCTGTGTCTGAGGCTTGGTAATTATAGCACCGCCCACCAGGCAGATCTCATTGTTTCTGTATCAGTATGCCTTGGCTATATTCGCTCTTCGAGGCTGTGAGCGCGAACATTTGATTGGTGGTTGGTGGCTCGCCCAACCAAGGAGGCATTCTGAGAGCGTGATCTCCCTTTCCTTTTCCCCAAGCTGAAACTACCTTGACTCTTCCACGCCGAGTTCTTCTTTTTCGCTGTAAAACTGTTAAATTCGATTCTAGCCAAGTCGTCCTCGCGAACAAACACAATTTGTCGCCCACGATGGAGGTCCTTGGTGCTGTAGCCAGCTCCATCGCCGTGATACAGGCTTTGGCAGCTGGGAAACATGCCGTCTCTTTGTTTAGAGAAATCCCTGATATTCAGAAAGACTTCGATTATCTGATGAAGGAGGTTGGTCCCCCAACTCGCTGGCAACTTTTGCTGAGGTATTAGAACTAACATCCGCTTCTCAGCTGGACATGATCAAATCTATGGCGCAAGCTGTCTCCAGAATGGCTCCCATAGCACTGGAACAAGATCTTATCAACACTGCGGCGCGAAACCTCAATGAGATCACTGTAGAGCTTGGGGCATTGTTAAGAATATGTTCTCGTGAGACTAGCACGGACGGGAACAGAACGAACAAGACAAGGAAGAGAAAGTGGTTTGTAGAGAAAAGCGATATCAAGAAGCTTCAGCAACGGATGAATCAAGCCAAAGAAACTCTTCACTTTGCTCTCAATTCGTCGCGGGTATCCAATGATATTCGGTGAGTGTACCACACCTACAATCTAGCTATGATCCTCGGTATTGACTGGCGAGCAGATTTCAGGCAGAAATGAGACAGATGATGGTAAACATGTATACGATGCATATAAGCTCGCCGCATCCACCACTAGAAGTTCCACAATTACCAGAAGTCATGGAGAGTCCGGCATCAGATCAACAGCTCAAAGATGATCATACACCAGAGTCAGACGCAGTAGTTATCAACTATGGCCATGGCAGCAATCCGGAACCGACGAATGACTCTGTTCAGCTCAATCCTGTGATCTCAACTCAGAGAACACCATCTGATTCCACTTGCCGGTGCCGATGTCACTTCTCTGAGAGTCAATATCAAAGCTCTGGTTGGATGCACTCACTCCTTGGATCCTGGCTTGTGCGTTGTAAGAGCTCGTCTAGAAAAGAATGTTCAGATTCAGGATGCCACTGCGCAGTATCAACGGCCTTGAGGATGGAGTACCAAGTTCCGAGATGGTTTCTCATCAGGACATTCAGAATTTGTGCATCTTACAGCAGTCTCTCTGGGTTGAGTTGCGCCCTGCGCTCCTTTAGATTGATTGAAACCGACTCTTTGGTGTGGACGAACCAGAAAGGCTCAAGCCAAGTAGTTAGGAGATCAGTGGCTGCGTATGGCATTTACCCTCACGACACGGATATCAATGGTCAGGGACTTATAGAGGTTGGTCAAACCGCACAACACCACGGAACAGTCTGTGTGCCCTAACATAAACAGTATGCTCTTTATGCGAAACTTTACTCTTCCATAGAGGATGTTCTGGATATATGGAAGAATATCTTGACTGAGGTTGGGTTACCCAGGTTAGTCTTTAATCACGTTCGTTATCGAAGGTTATCTGAACAATGGATAGACGTGCCGCGCTTGCTGCCGCCAACTCACTACGATACAATGAACTCAACGATTACGAGGCTTATATTGTTCAGAAAGTTCTCAGTTTCTTTCGAGATCCATCTGAAATGACAACGACCAAGGTTCACGAGGCGGTCTTGCAATGTGCGGACCTGCAAGAAGCACTACAAGAGCAACCTTGGGCTATCAACACGATTGACGACACTGGCGACTCTCCTCTTGTTCTTGCAACATGGAGGAACCAAGTCAGGTCCATGGAAGTTCTCATTTCAGCAGGAGCTGATGTTAACCAACGATCGTACGATGGATTGACTCTTCTCATGGTCGCAGTCGTGACAGAAAACGTGGAGTCTGTAAAACTGCTGCTCAAGTCCAAATGTAACGTTGATTTGTGCAATGAGGAGGACACGACAGCATTGAATTTGGCTTCGAGACAGGCTAACCCCGAGTTGATCAGCCTTTTGCTAGCGGCAGGCGCATCTGTAAAGCATCGAGATGCCAACAGCAACACGTCACTGCATTATCTGGCCATGTCTACGGATACAAACGCTACTCATGACGGCATCAAGGCATCCATTGAGACGCTGCTCGTGGCAGGATTTGACCTTGAAGCACGAAACAACCTACGGAATACACCTTTCCTTCTATCAATTTGTCTAAATAACTTTGAACTCACAAGAGGTTTGGTAAATGCAGATTGCTCTCTCATTGTTTTTAATTGCCGATCTCAAAACTTGTTACATCTTGCAGCCAGATACGCTTCAACAGAATTACTCCAGTTTTTTTCCATCTTGGACCTATCCGGCATCAATCCGTATCAGGAAGACTCATTTGGCCATACACCCGTCGATGATTTTGTCAGAATCTCTCATACTAAGGACGAATGGTACCTGGGTGGAGTTCGCAAGCCAAGTCTCGCGGAGCAAGAGGCTTTCGTCGAGCTTTATCAAGGCGTTCGAGATCAAGCCCTACACAATGATATTCAAAACCTTGAACAAGTCCTTGACACACTGCAGAAGCAAGACATGGCAGTAGCCCGAGAACATCTAACCGTATTGATCGAAAAGGAGAAAAGATGGGAGCGCGAGAATCTGGTTTCTTGGTATCGAGCCGTCGACAAGCGAATTCAGCACGCGGAATGGGAATTAGCGACAGAAGATGTGGAGGGTCGTATACTGGATTTGCAAGAAGAACTCGCAACACCCGTTTGGAAGACCTCATCAGAATACGGCTACTTATGGGAATTTGATGATGGAGAATCGGCTATTGAAGAGAGATCTGAAAGTGTGGATGAATCTGAGATGCCTAGTCATTCTGACCAACAAGTCATAGGTGAGAATGATGCTCAAGCAACCTAGGAACAAACCTAGTGACATCGTTGGGTATAAAGGCAAAAGGTCAAACACAAGAGCGCGATGATCAATGTCGAATTGTTACAAGGTTCATCAATACGAAGCGCAGAGTAAACGGGCCAAGATTTACGACTAACGTTACGGGGCACAGTTAGGGTGATGCTAGTTCAGGAAAATGGCATTAAATAGAGGCTACCATGAATTCTATCTTGAAGTGTTCTACCATTCGTATAATTATACAATCCCCTTACATATGAGTCCTGTCACAGTTGCTTACTGGCTAATCTCAAAAGAAAAAACTTGCTTCTATCTCTCTGAACAAATCCGTGCATATACCTATCCTTGCCTTAAAACCGTCTTCTTTCCATAATGTGGTATCTTCCTCTAAAAGAGGCCCTTCTCCCTGATTCTTTTCTTTTCTAAAGCATGAAGAGAAGAAACTGTAGCGCAAAAGCACAAACAAGCAACATCTTTCGTCTTTTCTGGATCTCTAGTGCTCCAAGTCCTCAAGGTCTTCTACCTCTTCTGGAATGTCCTCTTGGCCTTGCTTGATGCCGTCTATCATGTGGTATTCCCAAACTGTGCCCAGCTGGAGACACTCGTTGACGCAGCCTTCGTCTTCCCACCACCATTTATCTCCGGTGACTAAACTTCCCCAGACTTCCATCCAAAGCAGACGACCGATGATGCTTCGAACTTCTGCTTTCACCTCTCTTTCGGAGGGGCCTCTGTCTATGAACGGATCGCTGTCGTCGGCTTGACTCCGAATACTAGCTGATACAGCGTAGAATTTCGAGGTCGTGAGGGTACTTCCTTGGCCACGAAGACCAGCATCACCCATCCATTCTGGGAACAGTCTACTGGGGTTCGTGCATTTGAAGTGTCGCTCAAGGTTGATCAGTAGATGTTCTTGAAGCCATGTTCGCATGCGATGACCGAGAGTTCCTGCGCAGGGCAACGGGTCGATAAGAGTGAGCTGAAGGGAACCACCGACTCGAAGACGGTTGCTGATGTTCTTTAGTACCACTGGTATCTCAGGTGAAGAGCACACAGCGGGTAACGAGAGCGAATATACGATGGTGAATGAGTGCTGATCGATTGGAAGTGTCGAGGGGGTCATGTACGGGACCAATACCGGGTGGATGCTCGGAAGTTCTTTGTTTTGGAACGAAGCTATCGTCAGAGAGTATACTTCTCTTGTTGAGTGAAGAGCTGCAAGGTATGTAGCCGTGACTGATATTGTTAGTACTGCACTATTTTGGTTGTCCCTGATTAACTCACTTTCAGACTCGTAGAGGGCCAGTACCCCAAGACTGTCAGACGTATTCGCGACAACGCAAGCAACACCAGCACCATCCCTTGCCTCGATATCCAGAAAGTGCAGGACAGAAAGCATCCATCGCTTCAGCTCAATGTTCAACTCTCCATGGAACCTCTCGTCAGTGACGGTCCAGATCTCCTTGATACGCGCAAGAATCATGCTGGGACTCGATGCTGCCATAACCTTGACTTGATCCTTGACGCTCTCAAAATTCGTGTGCGGGTTGGCTTGAGATGTCTCTTCTGCATCGGCAGTCATCTCGATATCTTCCCGATTCTCAAGCATTTGGGCCTCTTCTTCTTGTCGGTCGATGTACTCCCATTCTTCGGGTGGACGCCATGAGTCAGGATTGTTGGGTCGGAAGTTGATCGCAATGGGAGCTTTCGGTTCTTTCGGAAGTTCGAGACTTGACACGAGACTGTTGGGAGACTCTGGCTGGAGTATCGGGACAGGGAAGCTTCTACGAAAAGGTCAGTGGCGTTCTCTTCCACTGTAAGTGATCAAGTTACCTATCTCCCATTGAACCCGTTGGTGTAGGAGGATGATCGCCTTCTAGCTCAGAACAGTTGTACACCTCTGAACACAAGTCCGGGTTTTCCAAGTCGGATTGTCGAGGCTGCGAAACTTCCTTGCGCTTAACAACGTGGGAGGAAGCCGCATCTGTAGAAACCGGAGTGTTCGCCCTGTGTGCTCGCTCTGCTCCGAGGGAAACATTCGACAAGTTTGCCATAAGCGCTGAGCGATGATAGCTCCCCGAGTTTGAGCGAGAGGAGTGATGACTAGGAGTTAGAAGACCTGATGGGATCTTCTCTTTGCCCTTTGCATGTTTGCCATTTCGAGGTCGAAGGAAACCAAAACGAGATTCTGTAGAGGATCGAGTGCTTGTGACGGAAATGGAGCGGCTGAGAATTGAGTTCTCCTGTTCCTTTTCTCTCTCCTTGTTCTTCATTTCGCGCTTTATTTCCTTTTTGGCGCGATGCTCGCCGACGAGCTCGCGGTCGGGGTCGACCCAGATGACATCGAACATTTTGTTTGGTGCTCTATAATCGTATATCTGCTGTTGAGATTTCCTTTGAGGGTTGGTGATTTGTGGCTGTTGTTTTTGAGATCGGAGTGAGTCGTGGGTAGGTCGAATGAATGAATGTACCTATTCTATGTGAAATGATTTACGAAGTATAGGGCGTATCTCGAAGCCCGCATAAGCTTCAAGATGTTCGGAAACAAAAACTGAATGCCTTTATTTTCTAATTCTTGATAGCGAAAGAGGTGGTGTTGTAAGGATGAATGTGGGTGTTTTCGAAGGAGTGGGGGTGGAGGTTGTGAGGAGCTGAGGAGCAAAGGTCAACGAAGGGCCGAAGACTTGAAGAGAGTTGCCAGCCTCTAATATAAGGTCAAAAAGAGCGTATTGAGGGAGTCAAAGCTGTTGTTAAGCATGAAGTGAAGTATGCGGTTGAGAGTTGCTGAGCACCGGCGTGTCAGTGTCAGGTGCACCAGGTGGTTGTGAGTGTCAAACGAGAATGTCGGTACCAGTTCGGAGGAGAAGTGCCAGTTGTTAGAGAGGTAACAGTGGCGTGAGCGTTTGGTCAATTGTTGTCAAGAGTAATTCTAGGGCCTTGAAGGGCAACTTATACGCGTTTGGTAAACAGGACGATGATTAGATGAGAGAACAAGTCTTGGGATGATCAACAAAAGGTTTACTCATGCCACTGATTCACTGGCCCAAAGTAGCTCTATATATGTTCATACTGCAGTTAATCACTGTGGATTTCGGGGTGGATGTGTGACAGCAGAAGTTGAGACGAGTTGATATATGCAGTAAGGTGTCATTGAGGGCCTCACTAGCCTGGTAGAAATGTCAGCATCAAGTCATGTGGGCAATTCTTATCGTCTCTGATTGAGAGGGTCATATTCTCTGACTGTATATGGTTGATATACTGGATGTCGACTGGTTTCACGAAAAGACCACATGACTTTCAGCCAACTCTCTGTGTAAGTGAAAAGGGGCAACTTTCAGTACATTGGATATCAACCAATAATTAGCAACATTAACGAGTATTAGCTTTAAAAATGAAAAGAATAATTTAAGATATGATATGGTGAAAAACATGTCTTTTCTTGTATTTTTTCATGTTCAAGTGTGATCATCCAACATCCACACATGAGTGTACTCAGCTCTCTTCCGCCTAGTAATTCTCGACCTTCATCTTATGTCGATAGAACACCAGCAAGAACCAGTTCATTTCGGGTACAGACATACCGAGCATTGTCTTACATCTGTATCAACCAACCACGTCTTTTGCCACCATTCACACCAGACGCCCTCTCGCTTCGCAAACGTCGGCGAGCTGCATACGGTGAGACGAACACCTGGTCTGTACGACACTGAACCCGTGTCTTGAGGGGTCGGTTCCAGGAACTCAGTGGTGGAAACGGGATCCTCCTTGGGTGATGATCTTATTGAAGAATGCCCTTTTCTGGCGCGTTCAGGGGTAAGATGTGTGTGGTAGGTGAATCAACTCGGACTGTTAACCATGTCCAAGTATCCAATAGCTTCTATTGAGATGGATTGTATCTGTTCTTTACTTTAATTATCAGTTCAATATAAATATACATCCTCATAAGTCAAGTTCTTTTCTTAATTACTGTTCATCCCAGACTTACCAATAATGAGGCCCGTTCGTCAGCATGTTCACTCATCACAACGCCTCAAACACATCACCTTGACAATAAGCTCGGACAAACAGCCAAGACCCAAATACCAGGTCCAGTCCTCGAGCCAAGGTAACGAATATTACACAGACGGCCCGTGGAAACAATGCCCTCCCCTTTGATCAAGGCAGACATTTACAAAGCTACGCATACAAGTAGGACCCAAAATCACCCACAGCCTTATAAATCTTGTTCTCCTTTTTTATTCTGTTCTTTCTGGGCTTATGCTGTGTCTGTACGTGTGCGTGCATGTGCGTGTGCATCTTGCGCAACTCGCAACTTGGACTCGAACTTCGAGTCTTGTGATGCATACCCATTAATTCGGTAACTGGTCTTATCGGGTTCGAGGTGTAGATACTGACGTTGAGGTTGTTGGCAGTGCGAGGCGGCTGTCAGTGTCTGCCAGTTGCAGTTCTCCTCTGGCGTTTCTTCCTCTTGACGCCAGAAACTAAGAACCTCTGTTTGCTTTTCTCTGATGTAATCGATTCTGCTTCTTGAATCTCTTTTCCTCATTTCTTCTGGTGTCACCTCCTCTTCTTCACAGGGTTGATCGACGCCACCACCAACCTCACTCTCTTCCTCTCTCTTGCATTTCTTCTTCTCATAATCACCCACTTAATCAGTCCCCCCCATTCCCTTTATCTTCAATTTTCCTCCACTCCATCTTCTCATCATCAAAGCAAACATTTCACAACGCACATTGCCTTCAAGATGGCAACCTCTCCAGCACAGCAAGGCGCTACGCCTCCTCCAAACCAAGAGGATCTCGACATTGTTCAACATCTTGGTCGCTCTCGATACTTCGGTTGTCGTGACTTTCTTGATCGTGTCGACCACTATGTCACCACTTCGGCCTTTGGGTACTTCTTCACCCTCAGTGGTACTGGTCACGTAAGACGCACTCTCTCTGTCTGTGCTGGTTATGGTCTAAGCTGATGACTTTCTAGCCTCAAGAGATTGCTGGAGCGACTTTCTTTCGAGAAGTTCGCGCTGGTATCACTACGTTCGCGACTATGGCGTACATCATCGCTGTCAATGTATGGACGCTCGATCCTCTCAATCTGGAGCTGGCTGACGATAGATAGGCTGCTCTGCTCGCTCAGTCTGGTGGTACTTGTGTCTGTGACTTGACGGATAGACACGCGTGTGATAAGATTGATTCATATGTTGCTTGCAAAGAAGGTGAACTGATACCTAATACCGACTCCCAACATTATGGGAAGATGCTGACTGCGCAATAGACATTCGACGAGATATCGTCACTGCTACAGCTGCAGTCTCCGGCCTGGCAAGCTTCATGTTCGGCTTCCTTACCAACCTCCCTGTTGCCCTCGCGTGAGTCCCCGTTTTCTCACACTATGATATGATGCTGATTCCCAATAGTCCCGGTATGGGCCTCAACGCGTACTTCACCTTTCAAGTTGTCGGATACAACGGAAGCGGTCCCATCTCTTACCGTCTCGCTCTTACAGCTGTCTTCGTCGAAGGCCTTATTTTCATCTTCCTCGCCCTCACGGGTATGCGCCAGTGGCTCGTTAAGCTTATCCCCTCCACTATCAAGACTGCCACGGGCGTTGGTATCGGCTTCTTCCTCACTGAAATCGGTCTTTCGTACTCTGCCGGTATTGGTGCTATTACCGGCGGTGGAAAGGCTACTCCTCTTGCGCTTGGAGGCTGTCCCCAGGAAATGCTTGATGAAGTAACTGGCATGTGTACGGAAGGACAGATGTCGAGTCCCAAGGTAAGTTGGCTGGTCTCCGTTAAGTCTCGTATGCTTATTCAGATAGCTTTGGGTTGCTGTCTTTTGTGGTGGTATTGTCACTGCTTTTCTCATGGCGTTCCGTGTCAAATACGCCCTCATCCTTGGCATCGCTCTCGTTTCTGTTCTGTCATGGCCGTATGTTCTCCCCCTTTAACCTCTAACGTTACCTAACCATCCCACAGTCGCAACACGCCCATCACGTATTTCCCTCACAATGACGAAGGAGACTCCCGTTTCGAATTCTTCAGTCAAGTCGTCATGTGGCACCCGATCGAAAGAACTCTTAACCAGCTCGACTGGTCCTTTGGTGGATCGGCATCTCAGTTTTCCCTCGCTCTCTTCACCTTCCTTTACGTCGACATCATCGATGCTACCGCTACTCTCTACTCTATGGTTCGCTTCTGTGGTGTTGTGAACCCTCGCGACGGTGACTTTCCACGCTCTACTCTTGCGTATTGCACTGATGCTTTCTTCATTTCAATCGGTGCTTTATTGGGCAGTTCACCTGTTACTGCTTTCATAGAGAGTGGTGCTGGTATCGCCGAGGGCGGAAGAACTGGTTTGACTGCCATGACCACTGGACTATGCTTCACCGCTGCGGTGTTCTTTGCGCCCATCTTTGCCTCTGTGCCACCTTGGGCGACTGGTTGTACTCTGATTCTGGTAAGCTGTGTTCTTTCTGTGGGTATCGGATCACAACTAATAAGATGTGTAGGTCGGCTGCATGATGATCCGTCAAATCACCCAGATCAACTGGCGATACATCGGCGACGTCTTGCCCTCTTTCGTCGTTATGACATTCATACCTTTCAGCTACAGTGTAGCATATGGTCTCATCGCGTAAGCCCCCCATGCCCTCCTCGATATTTCCACTAATGACCTTTAGGGGCGTTTTCGTCTATGCAGTTCTCAACGGTCTCGTCGGCTTCGTTGTCTTCGCTACCCGTGGCTATGTCGAGCCTCGCGAGTACGATCTCAAGGAGTACTGGACCTGGAAGGGATCCGGCCGTGCTCCTTGGTTCATTCGTGCCATCCGGCACGGTCGAAACACTAACCAGGAGAATGATGATGACCAACCAGATGAATCTGGTCATGCCATGAGAAATCTTGACTACGTCGATCGCCGTAAGCACAGCAGCTCCAGGACTGCTTCCAGCGGCAAAGACGATCAGCCTACGTCACCCTCCAATGAACGATGGGAGCGTTGAATGAACGACGGATAGCGTTCCCGCACGACACTTTCTATTCTCTGTATCCATCAATTTCGGAGAGGTGGTACCTCATTTTGGAATTGTGGGACAATGTTTGCTTCTGGACGATGACAGTAGAAAGGACTAGTATCGCCCTTAGAACAGTATATAGTAGTGCAGCCTGATATTGGCGATATCAGAGAAAGGGGATGGAGGGGAAACTGCCGAAAGGGGGGCAAGATACTGAGATGTTAAATGTGATATAGTAACGTATGAGCCATGAATATCGTACCCGTGCAAGTTAGAAGCCGACTGAGTGATGAGACAACAGGAGATGTCGTTCTCCTTATATTTCGCCTACAAAGAAGCATCAGCCATCAATTGTAGACCTGGTATCATGGGACGTCTGCCTAAATATTCAGTCATAGAACCTGGTATCTCTATCTTCACCATGACCTTCATTAAACATTTCAAGCCCCCATATCAACATCACCACCGCCGTCACCACCTCCAGCTCGACCCCTCATAGCCTGCTCCGCATTCTTCCTTCTCTCCAGGCTCTCCTTCACCCACTTCTCACAAGCAGCGTCACCACCCTCGGCGATCTTACTGCGCACTACTCCCTTCATCACCTCACCCGCAAAGCCCACAAAGTTATGTCTTCGCAGAGCATTCTCAAACATCCAGTCCCTTCGCTTGCGCTCTTCTCTTGCCAGCAGTTCCTCATCCCCAAAGTCGCGCGCACGCTGTCGTAGATCTCGGCACATGGCGAGGAGGTTGAATCGAATCTCGGTAGTATCATATCGCGCAATACGGCGTTGGAGAACATCGACTACCTTGGTGGCAAAGTCCTCAGAGCTGCAAGCACCGTGGGAGATAGGCGCAGGTTGCAGACCATCGAGCTCGTAGAGTGTGCCGTTGATAGGTGTGTAAGCGATGAAATGGAAAGCATCCTCTGCCTCGGCGCCAGTTTTGTCTGTCTCATCGGCAAAAGGACTGCTACGAGCAAAGCTGTTGTGCACTTCACGAATGAGGTCAGAGTTGCTCAGCGCTTCACCTCGGAACTCGGGCGGCAACACCATGGTGAACTCTCTGAACTCGCCAAGTTTCTCGCCTATTTCAACATCATTCGTCTTGTTGAGTAGTACACTCAAAAGAGCTTGTGTGGCGCATGCATTCTGAATCGTCTGGGCGGCGAAGAAGATGTTCTCGGATGCGGCATTGTCGAACGAGCCGTCGCGGGGTCCTTCGGGTGTCGCATATGGTTGATCAGTCGGATACTTGAAGAGGAAGATCACACCATAGACGGGCTGTAAGGACAGAAGCTCGGATGGGTCGAGTGTGAGGAGTTCTTCGAATTGGACGTCTTTGACGCCAAGATTCTCGATGAGGGAGGTAAAGACGCCCTGACAGCTCCGAATTAGCCCTCTAATTTCAACGGTTCGCAAGCGTAATTAAACCATACCGCATCGGACTCAACTATAGAGCTTCAAGTCAGTATACCAGTCAAGATCGTGTACAGAGCAGGAAACTAACTGGTATTCCATCCTCCACTCATTGTTGCGACAAGTCTGGCGTCTCCCAGCAACTTCAGCTAGAATTAGAGGTTTTGAGTAAAAGATTTGAAGAAAGAAAGACGAAAAAGGGCATACAGCTCGATTTACAGAGTGAGGACGCTTCTGAGGTGGTGTGAAGTTGTTTTGTAAAGGGCATAAAAGTAGAAGCTTCAAAGTCAAACAACTGAGCCACACGACACTGATATCATCTGTCGCTGATAAGATAAGAAAAGCCAGAGGCAGCAACAAGCTACGACATCATTCGAGGTACACCATCCCTAGCCATCCTCAGGCATTGGACTGAGGAATCGGAATCCAGTCTTTAGAGAAAGGGTTATGCAAGCTCGAGGTTTCTTTGCCTTAACTAAGCTTTATAATCATTGTTTTAAAAACTTTATGAATATTACTTACAAGTGAAGTAGTCGACACGCAGCTATCTACCTACTAGCCTGAGGGTTTTCCTCTTTCCCATGCACTCAGTTAAATTCCGCAACAAATCTAGGGGCAGCGGATCCCTCTCGCCCTCAGTATCAGCGACACTTTATGAAAGCTATCAAATCATCGATACCAAATAACAAAAGGCCTGCGCTCAACTTTATTCTGTGGTAAATGTCTTCGCTGATAGAAGAAGGCAGAAAACTGGAATAAGCCAGATTCCATACGAAAAGAAACACCGCCAACTCCAGTAATTTCACCTCATTCCAACGCTTGATATATTGCAGCGCTGGTCTAAACTTTTCCACTCATCCCGCATCTCGCTTTAACACATTTCAACCAATTAAATTATAATCTTAAGGGAAAACGCTACAAGGGAATAAGCTGTTCCCTGGCCGGCTCGTTTCGCTGGTTATCATCCTGAACTCCTTGCTCCGCCTGTACTTCTCCGTTGTGCTCTGTGCCAGTACTGGTGGTCGCCTCTTCGCCAACATTCTCAGCTTGGTCCTGGTTCTCGTGGCTCTCTTCGTTTTGAGCTGCCGCTGCAGCCGCCGCATCTTCTGCCTCTCTCTCCTCAGCTTCTCGGCGTTCTCTCTCTGCTCGTGCAGCTGCTTCCAGATTGGCGATATGCCTTTCTGCAACACCCGGTGCGATGCTGGCCAGAAACAAGAGACCAGCTCTCTCCACGCGTCTGACTTGCGATAATAGCCAACTCTCTGGGCCTTGGTGTTGAGCTACAAGTCGTCGTGCCATTTCAGTAGGATCTGGATTTTGTCGAGGCTGCTGATTCTGCTGGTCTTCTCCGGCAATTCCCTGGCGACGTCTGGGCTCAGCAGGAATCAGATTTTCGAGGTGTCGTCCTAAAGGCTGCCAAACATGATCCGGAACACCATTAAATATTCCAGTGCTAAGCAAGAAGATGAGCACGGCGATTACAATGATGGTGAACCATCTAGACCAGCTTGCATTAGGGGAAGTGAAGAACCAGACAAATAGAACCAGCCGGAACAAGAGCCAGATTTGCGGCCATAGCTGCATAAGGAGAGGCGGAAGCGCCGCCATGGGTGGGTTTCCCCGGTGCATCAGGGGAGCCATAATCGCGGCAGGGTCCGGTTCCTGCGCCTGATTCTGGCCTTGAGCTTGAGCCGGGTATGCAGGTTGCTGCTGCGGCGCAAGGTTCTGGGCTTGCTGCTGAAAAGGCTGAGGTGGCTGTAGGTTCAGAGGTCGCCCTTGTGCCTGGATCTGAGGTATCTGCTGCGGCGCGATCTGGGAGCGGGGATGATGGTGGTGGTGGTGATGAGGATGATGATGGTGGTGATGGTGTCTCGCCCGCAACTGACTTTGAGCATCGAGAGCCGCGCTACTGAGAGCAGCGGCTTGTCGAAGGTGAGGTAGACTCGTCTGAGTTCGCAACCGTGGGGTAATGTACGTTTCAGAATTAGCATTGTTCAATAACAAGGCTCTAGGTCCCTCAGGCGACGAGAGAATATACACTTCAGGCCCTTGCCTCGCCTGGGAACTTCCAGGAGCTGCAGTGGTAGTGAGTCGATTAAGGGATGAATCAGGGGTTCCACGACCACTGCCGGCCATGGATTGGGGTATGGACCACATGGGCGCCGTCAGTCCGGGCTGAGACCGGTTGTGAAGAGAAGTGCTTGAAGCGCTTCGCTGCATTGCGCTGGCCATTGCCGATGTAGCTTGACTGATATCAGCATTTCGCAAAAGATTCTGTACATCAGCTGGAGTCATTGAGCCGCTGGCACCACCGTTGCCCTGTTGTCCAGGTACCACAGTCCGAATCACAGTCTCGAATTGATAGGTGTTCCCGTTTGGCCCAATGTGCTCACGATAAACGGTATGGCCTGGAGCTGGGCTCGCTCGGCCACTATTGTTTCCGCCAGTGTTTCCAGGGTTGTTGGGGTCGCCAACGCCGCGCATCCCCATTTGAGCTCTCGTTCGTTGGTTCTGGTTGAGAGCTCTAGCCATGGCCTCTCGTTGAATGCTGTTCAGCCACTGGGTCATGTTCTGATGTTGGTGTTGAAAGGCGGCAGCTTGCTCGGGAGTATGAGAAGGCGAAGGGGATGGCATGCGTGGTTGAGGAAACGGGTTGGAAGTTGGGGGCATCGGGTTCCGCCAGTTCAGCCCTGGTGGCATCTGATATCCAAAAGGTTGGCCGTGGGGCTGCTGAGGTTGAGGACGTGGAGGATGTGTTGGCGGTGCAGAAGCGGTTGGACTGGGACCTCGCGCAGGTGCAGGTGCAGGAACAGGAGCGGCGAGGGACGGTGGCGCAGAGGGCGCGTTGGGAGTTGAAGATGGGCTATCGTTCATGTCGCGAAGGACAAGATGAATCGTCTGCTGCTCGGAAGTGCGAATCTGTAGGCATGACAAGCCGTCTGGTTAGCATGTTGCAACTCGTAGACTGATCACTACTCAGGAGTCACGTACCGCATCAGCGCCAAAAATATCGACTAGTGTATCCGATTCGCGAACAAGTGCGTGTCCCCTATGGATCAATCGTTGATGGTCGTCGGCGGGTCGCAAGGGAAGAGTCTGGCGAATTTTATCCTTGAGCTGTTTGATCGTAGTATTTGCGGCCAGGTTGGGAAAAAGCAGTGGCCGATTCACACCAACAGACGGTGACAGGACCTGCAGGTTGACAGTCTGTTCGTTGGATGTTGAAGTAGAGGCGTTGGAGGGTCCATCGTCTTCAGGACGAGTAGCGGAAGGCAAGGAAGCCATGATGATCGAGCTGATGGCATGCCACTCCCAGGTAGGTAGGTAAGCTAAGGGAGGATGAAGTGGCCCGAAGTATCGGGATCAAGGAATGGCGACGAAGAATAAAGGACAGGTCGGATCGTCGTGGATGAACCTATGATTCAGGAACATATGTCGGTAATCGACAACATGGGGTTTCGCCTCTTCCTAATCGTGGCTGTCGATCTACGAGAGCTCGCGTGTTGAAAGAAAGCACCGGCTCGTTAACTGACGTCGGTTGTGTCGTCTTACTAACACTAAAAGGGTCGCATGTCCAAGGGAGTCTGACGACAGATGATACAGAAAGGGATGACAATATGCGACGGCGAAAAGCAACACGACTTATGTGCTAAAATAGATTGCAGTGATTCGCTATGACAAGGCGATTTGGTGAATGAGGGTACAGAAGGTGTTGCAAGTTGTGGTTGATTAACAACCATGACAAGACAAGACAACAATGGTCAGGGTGGCCTTTTGCCTTTTGGGGCCATATTCAGGTAAGCTCAGGCACACACTCACCTTAGCCTGCGACAATGGGGAATGGCCAGGGGAGTGACAACCCACTGTTGCGGTGTCGGTCTGTTGAGATCAGGTCGTCCAGGGTAAGTTTTGATTGGTCAGTTCCCTAAGGCCCCTGTTCTACCCACCTTGTTCTCTACAAAGTCATCATCATCCCTCGGCGGTCGGCGTCTTTTGCTTCCGAGAGCTGTCCGAGAAGCTGTGTCTTGGCTGTGTGCGGCTAACAAGCTCGAGCAGCCGCAATCCATCGTCATCGTTGGTTTTGACGTCAACATCCATCGAAAAAAGGGGTCCAGTTCTCTTTGAGAGGCTTCAACTACCTCTCTTCTACTCACCAACTCTACGCAATTGTATAAAAGGCAAGGAGGCAGCGTTCAATCGCTGTCTATCTCTACTGCCCGCTATGGCTCCAACCCTTGGACCTGGCTCCTCTAAGCTCGGTAGTCACATGCTCCGCAACTCATTCTACACCCACGGTCGTTGGACAAATTGTTACTCGCCATCTGCCTCGCGACACATGTTTCTGGCCTCCACGAGATCGCGATGCCTATCACGGCCTTCGGTCTCTTCAATTCGAACCTTCGCCTCCAATTCGGGCAAGAGACCAAGATTTTCCCAGCGCCTCGGCGAGGCCATGCGAAACACCAAAATTCAATGGTACCGGATCCCTGTCGGTCTAGGTATTGGTTTCCTCGGTCTCTTCCAGTTTTATAAGGTCTCTTCCCGTGAGAAGGAGAGACTCGAGAATGAGGATGGACAGGAGGGTTCCAGGGCACCCAAGAAGCGTGCCAGAATTCGCCCTGATGGTCCTTGGTATGTCAATTATTTATGCCCCTATTCTCATGTCAATGCTAACTCAATCCCAGGCAAGTCCAAGTGATGTCAACTCTACCCCTAAAGGCTATCTCTAGACTTTGGGGACGGTTTAACGAACTTACTATTCCTTACTACCTTCGAGTTCCCGGTTTCAAACTTTATTCCTGGATTTTTGGTGTCAAGTTTGTTCCCTTAACTCAATTCTCGAAATCCCTTTGCTAACAATGGCAGCCTCGACGAAGTCGCCGAACCCGATCTCCACGTCTATCCCAACCTCGCATCCTTCTTCTACCGTACACTCAAGCCCGGTGCTCGACCACTCGATCAGGATCCTCATACTCTCATCTGCCCTTCGGATGGAAAAGTCCTTCAGTTTGGCCAGATTCAAGGCAATGACATTGAGCAAGTTAAGGGCATGACTTACACTATCGATGCCCTTCTTGGAAAGAATACTCCTGCTCCAAGCATCTCTGGCACTTCAGGCACCTCAACTCCCGCAACAAGCCAAGGCGACGTGTCAGAGGAGGAGTCGCTCGTTAAGCAACACGAGGAGTTTGCTCAAGTCAATGGCATTTCATACACTCTTCCCGATCTTCTCACCGGCACTGGAAAACAGGCTCCTTCGGCAAAGGACGAGTCTATGCCCGCATCTCCTGGTACAGTCTCTGAGGTCCGTGCCGAACTGGCTCTGGGCGAGCGACCTTGGTACGATCTCATATCTCCCGACAACACTACATCGCTTTACTATGCAGTTATCTACTTGGCTCCCGGCGACTACCACCGTTTTCACTCTCCCACGAACTGGGTTGTTGACCGCCGTCGCCACTTTGCAGGAGAACTCTATAGCGTGTCCCCATACCTTCAGCGAACCCTCCCTGGTCTTTTCACACTTAACGAGCGCGTGGTTCTCTTAGGCCGTTGGCGCTGGGGTTTCTTCAGTTATGTCCCAGTCGGTGCCACCAACGTCGGCTCCATTGTGATTAACTTTGATAAGGAACTTCGAACCAATAGCCTGTTGACCGACACGGCAGCAGACCGTGCAGCGGAGGAGGCTGCCCGCAGGGGTGAAGTGTATCATGGATTTGCTGAAGCGACATATGAAGCAGCCAGCCCCGTTCTGCGGGGTCATGCGCTCCGACGCGGTGAAGAAATGGGCGGTTTCCAGTTGGGTAGTACCATCGTACTCGTGTTTGAGGCACCTTCAAGCAAAACGGATGAGAACAATAGACACGTCGGTTGGGATTGGGCTGTTCAGAAGGGACAGAAGGTGAAAATGGGACAAGCTCTGGGACGAGTCATTGAGTGAGGCGCGGAACGGCCATGCAGAGTTAAGAAGCAAGTTGAGCGTTTGCATATTTAAAGCTATATATAATTGTATACTACTATATATGATGTCACGTTTTATGAAGAATCTCTCAATATTCACTTTGGTATCATTAGCTATAATGAACCACAACTAGAACATGGCATGGTTTGGTGGTGGTATTCGCAGTAACATGGATGTTCAAGTGTCGGTCAGAGGAGAAAGACATCGTCAATGCAAATGCTTGTAAGTATGATTGGTTGGTAGTTTTGTCTATTGAAGGGAAACAAGAGCTCAAGGCTCCATACTCTAATTGCAACTCGCTAAAAATGCAGGTTTCTATGCCAATTCTAGTTGACGTTTCTCATGCTTTCATAAGGTTCTTTTAAGCACCGAAGACCTTGACACGCTCCTCAAGAGGAGCATAGTCCTTGGGGGCAGCCTCAGCGGTCTTGGCACCGAAGACAAGCTGGGCGTTGAGGGTCCAGGTAGAGGGGATCTTCCAGGTCTCAGCAACCTTCTCATCGATCAGAGGGTTGTAGTGCTGGAGGTTGGCACCGAGACCCTCAGCCTCGAGAGCGGTCCAGAGGAGGTACTGCTGGATACCAGCAGACTGAACGGCCCAGGGAGGGAAGCGATCAGCGTAGATGGCGAACTTGGTCTGCATGGCCTCGACGGCGGCGTTGTCGACGTAGAAGAGGACAGTTCCGGCAGCGGCCTTGAAGCCGGAGATGCGCTTAGAAGTACCCTCCCATGAGTCGGCGGGGACGATAGCCTTCAGGGTATCGGCAGTGATGTCCCAGAGCTTGTCGTGCTCAGCGCCGTAGAGGACGACGACACGGTTGGACTGGGAGTTGAAGGATGAGGGGGTCTCGAGAGTGGTTTGGTTGACGATCTCGGTGATGCGCTGGGTGGAGATGGGAAGGCTCTTGGAGAGAGTGTAGACGGTGCGGCGGTTCTTGGCCAGCTCGATGAGGGCGTTGGCGGAGAGTTTAGCGGCCATTGTAAGAGTTTATAGGTGTTTGAGTGTAGGTTGTAGGTGTAAGTGATATAAGCTGAGAGACTGATGATGGACTGATGATGAACTGAAGGGACAGACAACACGGGGAGACAAGAAGAATATATAACAAAACCCTCAATGACTTGCCGGCCACTGTATCAAAGTTACGGCCCCGCCATATCGGCCCCTCCTCTCCATTGTCCATTCGTAAAGAGCAAAAACACATCAGACCCTGCCAACTTTTCGCAATCGCCAAGCTCCACTGACTAATGCGACTAATGCAGCGCCGGGATTGCATCAGTAAAGGGAACTGTGCCTGTGCCTGTGCCTGTCTACTAATCAGTTTGTCAGCCACCCGCTAACAATTTCTTCTCGCGCGCGCTAGACTTTGGATATCTCTCCGAACGATTCCAAACGGATATACAGATTAATGAGGTTAGCGTCGGAAGTTACCCTGAAGTTGGCCACATTGGATGATGAATGCAAATAATTATTCAGATGGTTGCCATCATCGTAGCACCGCGACTAATAGTGTCTTCTAATTAACAATCTTGAACTCAATATCTCCCGTGTTTGACGCGGTTGTTGCTCTATGTCATCTATCCTCATGTACTCTCCCACAGCAGGTGGAGCTATGCTAACAGAAACTCGGATATATGAATCGGAACGAGACTACACAATTCCGCTGACAAACAGCATTGAACGCTTGATAATTCCATGTAAGCAAACTGTTCAGCTCTGAGCTGTGTATGCTCTGAAACAATCCCTACACCGTAAAACATACGTCGAGCAAGTCAATTACTGATATGTTTCAAAAATGGACTCATCTGATTAGGTAGTCTCCGAGTTTACTGGCGGTTAAACTCCAGACCGCTCATGATTGACAATCCGCGCGCGCGCGAGATTGATAATGTATCCGGGTGCGTGGCTCCATGGGCACAAAGATCCGCTGACATAACCACATTTCTTTTTCTGCAGCGAGCAAACCCATGCATGTTAGACAGCTCCCACTTAAATGCCGAACCTATCTGTCCTATCATATCTCACCAGATGCCAAAAAAGGAAATCTGACAACGGGAGGCTGGCGTTTGACAGGCCTTCTACTGGTGAGATTTTAATCACTTGTTTGCAAATGAGATGGATTGTTTATTGGTGATAGATTCAGGGGACAAACAGCAACAATAAGGCAAAAACCTTGGGGAATCAGACAAGTAGAGTATACCTTCCGACTCGAGGTAGGTGAATCGTACAGTCACAACATCACTGAAACTTTATATAGAATAATGTTTCTTAATGTTTGTAAATTCATTTCTCGGCGAGGATAGAGCAAGCTCTTTGTCAATCCTA